TTAGCTAAATTTTTATGAGCTCAGTTTAATGAACAATTTCTGTAATCGATAAACATTCGGTTAGAAGAGCCACGCCTATTGTTACCAAAGACATTATGTTTTCAATGATAGATTTAATAGGTAGAATAGAATGATAGATTTAAGCTTCGTTAATGCTAAATCTAATGCAAGAAGTGCATAGAAAATGCTAAACTTTAATAACATTTCAGGTTTTTTTTTAAAATTAATAAAAAATTGCATAAAAAATATAATTATAATTTATAAAAATGATATTTATAAAAAAACATTTTATACGATATTATTAATTCCTGTATTTAATGCTGTAATGGATTTTAGAATAAAATTTAAAATTAATTTTTAAAATTTAATTTATATATGAATTTGTTATGTTAAAGTATTATATTTAACAATCAAACCAAGAATTTTAAATATATAAGGATAAGGGTGTGATTGTGAGAACGTATCTGTATAGTCGTGATAAAACTTAACATCTCTACAGTACCCTGCGACATCATTGTATTACTCATGCTCAATCACATTGCATTTTATATATTATATATATAACAACAGATGACTCTATTTCTTCCCAAATCTCCGAATGAGTTCAGGACCATACCTAAAAAGGTTTTCCAATAGTATTTTTTTAAACTAAAAATTAAGGACAATAGTATTAAAGTGAGGACTTTGAAAAGAATATAATAAACATTCTTAATAACAGTTTATATAATAAAAATGTAGATAACTAAATATAGAACCACTAATATTTTAAGGTTTTAAAGGTTTAATAAATCAGTTAAAATCGTAATACTCAATTTAGGTCTTAATCAATTATAACGTCTATAAAAGAACGAGAATAATTTTTCTGCAGTATTTCTGCAGTATTATAAATATACTAGAACAGTGGTTAACATCCACTTGGGATCCACTACGGTTTCCACAGTAATAATGGTCCTTGGTTTTTTGACCAAGGACAAATTCAAGAATCAATTTTGATTGATTCTGATTTTTTTGATGGATTCTGATTATTGAACCCAAGAGAACACAGAATTATATTTTATATTGCAGATACTTCTCAATAAATGTTGTATTGAAAAGTTAACTCGCAAAAACTATTTAAATACACATTTATAAATAGTGTAGTTTATCCAATAATTTTGTGATCATCTATGTGATCTATGTTATCTCTGGTTAAACGCTACTATGTATATAATATTACATTAAGTGATTTTAACTTTAGGTCTTAACTTAGAAATAAAATAGAAGTAAGAAGAAATATAATTTTCTATATACTACAAATAGACTTCATATATTGTAAACGTTGTCTGAGAAAGCTTGTAATAGTGCTGAGTGTAATATGTCAGAAAGGTTGAATAAAACTTTAGCAACTGAGTGGTGTTAAATATTATATGTATTTATTTATGGATTTAAAATTGCCTTTTTTTCAAGTCTTTGGTGCTTAATCAATACCTTAACTTATCAGCTTTAGAGTTTTTGGTCTTATAAAATACTACTCGTAAATATATATTCACGTATGTATGTCTAACACTCTTAAGTCGTGACTTAAAGTACCATAAGCACTGTTAATGAGACCGTCTGTCACATCCAATGCCAAGAGTGCTTCTACTTTGTTTTATTTCTGGCCATACCCAGTCAAACTAAACAAACCAGTTATGACCTATGAAAATAATAATAAATTGAGTTAATGCTTAGAAAAAATTGTAGTTTGATATTCTCTAAAATTATTATAAAAAATGTGCATAAGAAATAATTTTTTTATTATGTTTAAGACTTTGTTTTGTCCCAAATTGTAATCAAATTAATTTGCGGTTTTTCTAGGAAAAAATACACAGTCTTTTTAATTAAGAAATGGGTTTTGTTTATTTATATTCATTGTTATTACTTATATACATATTTGTAGATGTTACACATATATGTATATCTGTTAATATATAAACTAGTTTTCAGTTTATTTAATAACAATATTTTTTGAGGTTTTTTTGATAAATGATACTTAAGATGCAGTAGATATGTTTAGAAGGATAGGCAAATACTGAAGTGGGTTCTCTAATGTATCGGTTAAAAAATATTCAAAATAGTTTTTTTTTAATTAGAAGTTTAATTAAATCGGAGGATTTAAAATATTATGAAATTATTTTATTACTTTATCAATATTATTAGTTATAATCCATTTTTCTGCAGTATATACCTTTAATGGTTTCTCTATAGAGCTCCAAAAACTTAAGTGAAGTTTTTCAAATATTCTATATATTCTATATTATATTTTAAAATATACTACATATTAGACGTAATAGTTTCTCTATAAAGCTTAGACGTACTCGTGCTTAACTCGACAATTATGCAAAAATATGTAGATTTTCATACTAAATTCATACTAAATCCATACTAAATCCCTACCAAATCCATACAACAATATGCCAAAGAGTTCGATAAATTTAGGTGTAAACAAAGTATAGGAAAACAGCATGTTATGGGAGTGGAGTAAATTTATGAGAATTTGAATTGAAAGTACTTTGGTGCATTTTAAGTTTATGTATATTGCGAACTAACTAGTTTATTAAAGTACTTGATTGTGAAAAGTGTTGAACTAGTTATATTTTAAAGTATAACTACAGTCAAATAAATACAAATAAATTTAGCTAAAAATACTTAGAAAGACAGACCATTAATATGGACGAGACAACAAAACTCTGTATAATAGGTTCTATACTACTTTTTATTAACACAACAGGACTTAAAGACCTACTCTAACCCAATAATGAGGCACAATAGACCCAACAGTCGCAGTGCCACATCCCCTAACAATAATAATCATTATTTCAAACCGGACATTTACACTCTCAAAAAATATAAACTGTCATTAAAACCAATAGATACTTTTAAAGACCGCCAACGATGGATATAAATGGTCAGTCTAAAATACATTAAATAAAAAATTTAATTTGTCAAAGTAAATTTTTCGTCATAGAATATTCTAATTTTTATTTATTATTTTATTTTTAATAGTTTTCAATTTTTAAATATTATTTATTGCTTTAATATTGCTTTTAATAGTTGTTTATTATTTTACTTTTATTTTATTATAAAATTTTTAAATATTATTTATTAATTTACTTTTATTATTATTTATAAACATTTTTATTTTAAAAATATTAATAGTTATTAATATTAGTTGTTTGATTTATATTTTTGTAAATTTTTTTTATAAAATTTTGCTTTTACATTTTTAAAATTATTATTATAAATTATTACACGCTTTAGTAGTCATTTTATTTTTTTTATAATTTTTTATTTTTTATTATAACTACTGTAGTTAATATTTTCTTTTTAATTATGTTATAATCACATTGTTTATATTAACTTTTTTCATAATTTTATCATTTTTAATTTCTGTAACAGTTACTATTGCTAATTATAATTTCTATTATTACTACTTATTTAGATACTAAATACTGCATGGCCTGGACCCAGGCATAAACTTGAAAAAAAAAGCGCAGGAAACGCTTAAAAAGGACCTTACATTAAAGTATTGCCGGAAATGTTTCTTCCCAAGCTGAAGAGACAGCCAACATCTCATTCAGAGATGTGTAGTCGTCAAAAACTGTTGTAAGTGTAAAATCGACTGAACTCAATGACTTAAAGGTAACTTGACTGCCTGATATAGTCTACATATTTCTATTTAAAATATTTCCCACTTCCAGACAAGCCATAGCTATTCTATCAAAAAGCGTATATCATATGGACTTATTTAGTTCCTCCAAAGAAATGTCAGTGTCTATACCACTACCTATTTCACAGTTATCATTTAAATAGTTAAACCCTCTCCTAATAAGGGACCTCTCAAATAAGTCCAATTGGAATATCAACATTAAATTTCTGTTTGAAACTGAGAATGAGAAGATATAGACAATATTTTTTCTAATAGGATTGAAGAGGTAAGGTGACTTTAAGTCTAAGAACAAGCGGCATCAAGTGAAGCACATATAGTAAATAATAAATCGCTTGCAATAATATCGGTTCTGCTGCAAACAGCATCGGATGTTATAAATTATATATACAAAATTATACATTAAAGTATTGGAAACTATTTTCTATTTTACGTAAATCATATAGATACTTCTGTATTTTGTATTTTAATTAATATACAAATAATACAGTGGGCAATCGTATATGTTTATTGTGACAAAGAAAGTACACGTAGTTTGGGTACTAACGACATATAGCCACAGATTAAAATTTGATCAAACACTGGTCCTGTCCATGACAACAACTGTCGTGTCGAAAATGATGGACTAACTGTCCATCATTTGAGTAAAAAAAAGAATAATAAATACTAAATAATAAAAATGATAGACATAAAAAAATTTTAAAAAATTATGCAATTTTACTTTTATTATAATTTTTTTTTAATATTAATATAATCAATATAATATTGGTTATAAGACGATTATTTTTGCACACTTTTAACCAATATACGAATTAAAAATTAGAATTAATTTTTAAATTAATTCTAATAATTTTAATAATATATTTAAACTTTATAATTTCCTCCTAAACTACCACAAAAGAAGGTTCTATTAAAGATTAAATTTTTTTTTTTATTTGGACACTATTAATTTTATTTTTAAAACCCACAAAAAAAAATATTTAATTAAAAGTGTTCAGATCCTTTTTTGCACAACACTTAAGTTTAAATTTGATATATTGATCACCGATTCAAAAAAAAAAATATATTAGTTTTTAGATAATATATTTGTTTTACATTACATTATATATTATTAAATTTTATATTTATTTATATTAAAAAAAAAATTTTTAAATAAAAAATTTTTGTTTTGTGTTAATTTTTTTTTTTTAAATATTTAATTTAATTTAATTTTTAGTTATAACATATATAATTTTATTTTTATAATATTGAATTTTTTATTCATATAAATTGTTCACTTGAAAATATTTTGTAGACAATAAATTATTTAAAATACCTTTTGAAATTAAAGACAAATAAAAACAAAATTTTTTAAACTACAACACCTCGCACTTCGAAACACAAACTGCAATTAAAATTTAATTCTGCTTGAGCGCAGTTTTATTTATACAAACTACCAAAAAAAACCCTTAAACTTGTTTTAAACTTTAGTTTATAAGTTTAAATTAAAAAAAAAAGTTGAACGTTAGAAAACTTAAAACATTTGATTTGCAACTTTTTTGTTCAAAGCTCAAAAAAAGCTTATGAAAATTTTAACAATTTTTTTACATGTTGCGCTACAATTCATGGCCGGTAATGTTGACACACACACACACAAGCAATGCCACAAAAATAATCTCAACTAGTACAAAAGCAAATACAAACTAAAGAACTTCAATATATGACTTAGCAGTGACTGAGTTAGAGTTAATTGATTAATTATTCTAATTGACCAGAATTGATTTGCCATATCTGGTTATATCTACCAAACCTATATTCCACATAAATAACCAAAACCAAAAAATGTACATGGTGTTTCCGGTATACCCTTCGCAATTACTTCAGATGATGCCCTGGTCTAGAATAGAATAGAAATAAATGGGGTACCGTCTTCTAACAGAGCGGAGCACCGCGACCTGAGTTGATCTTTTGTGCTGATACAGACCCTTAAGATATTCCGCACTTTGAATAAAAGCCAAATTGTCACCCATTGAGGACCTCCTAATGTCAGAAGGGGAAAGTAATACTCGACGTCTAATCTAAGCAACAGTTAAAATCGTATCGGAAGGAAATTCAATATAAATATGTTTCCCGATATATGGTGTCCAAACAAAAAGTAGAAAGTCAAAAAAATTTCAAAAGCGATTTATTTGAATAGATTAAGTTATATGTGTATCGATTTTTAGTTCATTAAATATTCTTTAACTTGATCCACAAGAGGTCATTTTAACTAAATGACTTTAGATGTTCAAATAATTCAAAGTTGTTTTTTATGAAAAACTTTCAGTGGAACCCTAATTATATATATCAAAACCTTATTATCTTGCAAACATTTTTGTAGAAGTTTTGCTCCAATTCTCTTATCTTTTTCTATAATAGTTGCTTGAAAATAGTTTTATATTTATATTTTTGGACCAAATACTGTATGAATCAATTAATTTGTTTTTTTTTTCTTGTATAATCCATCAAAAAATAGTTAACTACCCACGACAGTGACACGCTATGTTCTATAAGAGAACATTTGCATCGAGAAAAACTTTTCAACAAATTCTCATTTAAAATATCTGGTGATTCTTATTACTATTATCAATATGATTAGAAGAATGATACACTTACATCTATAAGATCTATTGTGCTATTCCTTAAGAGAGTTTTCTAAAATAATACGGGACATTTGAAGCTATTGACAAACCTAACAATATTACTTGGTTGTAAATCTCATTTTTTTTTGTTTTTTATTCACTTATTTCTTGGTGATCAACGGACAGTTAAGATGGGAGGAAGTTTCCACAGATGTGAACCACAGTCTAATCTTTGGTTAGTCAACAACCAAAATACATTTAGTTATGAATCATGTCAAGAAATGCGACATGACTTTTTCGTGCAATAAGAACTGTACTATCGCAACTTTGATCAGGATTATTATGCTTAAACATGTCTATCCATAACACTCTACGGCTCATGATGTTGTCCAACTGTTTTCCTGTGCAACTGCAAATACGCCTTTCAATCATATTGATGTATGATTGAACTTTATAGAGATGTCAAAGCTTTTTCATTACAATCCGGTCTAGTTTCAATACTGCTATATCTACACTTTCACCATCTTCTATTCGTATCTTCCATCAACCATTCTATATGCTTGCGTATAATCTATTCATGTTTTTTTTCTAGGATACCTATAGGCCTTTTCTTTTGTAAGCATGTCGCAAAAGAACAAATAAAATAAGTACTACTTTCGATGGCAACTCTGGAAGAACCTGAACGACTTTTTAGTCTTGGCAACCATGCGATTTGAGCTGCTTATTAGTTAACCGATTTCAAAAAGGTTGGACTAAATAAGCCAGCAGTGTTGTTGTTATTTTGTCATATGTTATTTTTAAAACAAGCGGTTGTTCTTTTGTGATATGCTTACAAAAGAAAAGGCCTTATGTGGATTATAATAAAAATTAAAAAATTGGCTGCAATTTTTATATTATAAATATAACTAACAAAGCAGTAGTGAAGTCGATTCATAGGAAGACTTTGCTTTAGCTATAGTATGATGATATTTGAAAACATCAATCAATAAAAGTAATTTAATGATTTATAAGCAAAAGAGCACTGACATTTGCAAATTATTTTTATTTTTATTAAGTTTGGAATACGACTAATTTCCTAAATTCAGGTGGTCTAACATATGCTACTAGTCCCAATTGCATTAATGAACGTGATGATTTTGTTTTGCTTCACATGTAATGTGAGTCTTTAATCAATATGGATAAGTCTGCTGTTAAGTTATTTCAATACTAATTATACAGAAGTGACAGATATTTATTTCTGAAAGATCTAAGAGTTAAAATAAAAATTAAAAAGTTTGTTGAGGCAAAAGTGAGTTTAGATGGAATAAAGAAATTTTTAATAACTTCTTTTTTAAAAATTTTTACGGATTTTTACTCTTGTTTAATAAAAATGTTTATCTGTTGGAAGTATGACTAATAAAATCATGAAAGTATTGTTAACAATATTTTTATTTAACACACAAATCGGTTAATTTGAAAGCCGCTCAACAGCTTCTCTTCTCACTTCCCTATCATTTAGGCCACTTTAACACCATAGAGCTTCTCGAGCAGTGAACTGCTACTATTTATTTGTGATCTATTAAGTTTTCTAAATTAAAATTCAATTCGTATATAGAAACTAATCAGCTTTCATATTTTACAATTAAAGCGACTCTTAATTAGTTGTTTCATAAAACAAAAATAGTTTAATTTAATACATAGAAATAAAAATCTATACTAATTAGCATGGACATATTATATTAAAAAGAAAGTATGTACTCGAAAAATGGAGAATGGAACGTTTTATATATTTTTTTCATTTTTAATATAGTGAGCATAAGTGACCATCTATCTATCATAAATATAAATATGACTATAAACTATAGTCGAAATATTGGTGAAAATAAAATAATATATTCAAAAATAATTAAAAAATGTGTGTATTATTTAAACAATTGACCTAACTGGTTCGTTTATATTATTATTTCCATACTCCATTAGGAGCTTAAGGAGTCTACAAAAGTTTTCCAATGGTTTCTATTTTGTGCTATTGCTCGCAACTTGTTAAACGATTTGCCCGTCTCCTGCTGAACTCCCTGTGGATTCTAAGTAAGTACGATATGCGCGACATCTTCATAAGGCTTAAACAGTGTGTATCCAATCCAACCATATTCTTTTCTTCTTATCTCGCTGTTTACGTTTGTTCGGTGCGTTATTCTCCATAACTCTTCATTTGAAATCGTTCTAAGCCATCTTATGCCTAATATATTGCGCAGGCATAGATTGATAAATGATTGTCTTTCGAAAAAAAGACATCTCCGGAATCCGGAATCTTCTTTCGATTCCGGAGTTAGCAAGCTGTTTAGTCCGTTTCAAAAAAAATAATAATAAATTAAAACAATAATTGGATTTATATAATTTAAATTATGTGATACATAAGCAGAACAGGAACACTCGATGGTCCACATTAGTGGGTAAAAATTCTTGGTGTCGCCACTCTGCTACCTGAGCAGTGAAAAATGTACACAACTGCATGCATTGTTATGATACGTAGTGTCACATACTATCCAAAATGCTTTGATATATAATACCGTTCAATCGATGGAGTAATGGCACCGATTGCTTACCCGTCTTCAAAGTTATTCTACTCAAGCGTTCCAAAATATACAGTGACTCCATCGCATAATCGGACAAGCATTTGTTCGATATAAATGTGCTCTAAACTTTAAAAAAAATGGTAAAAATATGATTTTTTTTGCTTTAATTAATACTTAACATACTTATCCATCTAAATTATAAAAAAAAATAAAACATTTCTCGTAATAACTATTAATTTAAAGTAAAAAACAGAACAAACACAATTTTTTGGGCTCAACGTATAATCGGACAAAATTAAGCAACCGTGTTAAAAATACAGAAATGTGGCATTTAATATTTTGTTGCATATCCATTGTTATCCAGAACGGCCTGAATACGATTTAGAACTGATTTTACCAATTTTTGGCACACTTCTGGCTCAATAGAGTACCATGCTTCGAGTAAAGCCTCCTTTAGCTGCACTATTGTGTTAAATTTTTTTTGGTACACTCTCCTAGCTAATTCCTTCCAAAGATGCTCAATTACATTAAGGTCTGGGCTCTGTGCAGGTGTGTCTATGAGTTTGGGGCAGTTATGGATCAACCAAAGCATTGCTACGCCTGACGTATGCTTGGGATCGTTGTCCTGATAAAAATTAAAATTTTCTGTGATACTCAACTTCTCTGTACTTTGCTTTGCATTCTGTTTCAGAATGTCGAGGCATCCAGATTTGTCCATTTTACTATCTATAAAATTCAAAAAAACTACTCCCGCACTCGACATACAACCCCAAACCATAACAGAGCCTCCTCCATGTTTTATAGTTATTTTTGTATTGTGATGGTTGAATTCTGCATTTGGTTTACGCCATACAAACATCTTACCATCAGATCTATTCAGATGAAATTTACTTTCATTAGTGAAAATTATCAATGAAAATGTATTTAAGATGATTTACCATCAATTTACTTGATTCCAAAAGCCTTCTGTTTTTAGTAAATATTCCTTAGCATATTTTATTCTTTTGTTTTTATTTTTAATACTTATAAATGGCTTCTTTTTGGCAATTCTTCCGTGATAATCGAATTTATGTAATGTATTGCGAATAGTATTTAAGCATATATCTTTCCCAGGGCGGGGTTTTAATGATAATTTAAGGTCTTTTGTGGTTTTGAAAGGATTTTTCTTCATTTCTTTCAATATCGAATGCTCTTCTCGATCATTTAATATAGTGCCTTAAGCTGCTCTGATCTTATTGGTCAGCCTCATCATGGGACCTCTTGATAATGTCTTGAATAGTAGATTGACTTATTCCAACTAAATTGACGATTTCTCTAACGGGTTTACCTTCGAAATTCAATTTAATTATTAATTGCCTAATTTCGACAGTAGATTGCTTTCCATTTGGTGCTATTTTAATACTAATTTATGTTACAATTATATAATTTATAATTTATTAATATAAATAATGTAAAAAACATTGTTCTGACAATTATTATTGTAGTTTTGAAGTACATATTTGTAAAATAACAGTATTTTTAGCATGAATGCTTAATTTTGTCCGATTATACGTTGAGCCCAAAAAATTGTGTTGGTTCTGTTTTTTATTTTAAATTAATAGTTATTATGAGAAATGTTTTAATTTTTTTTATAATTCAGATAGATAAGTATGTTAAGTATTAATTAAAGCAAAAAAAAATCATATTTTTAGGATTTTTTTTAAAGTTTAGAGCACATTTATATCGAACAAATGCTTGTCCGATTATGCGATGGAGTCACTGTATATAACTTTTGAGCCAAAGATAATATATATTTATATTTAATACATAAACAAAATATAATTTCTATTTCGTGTTTCCTGACCACGTCCATTTGGCAAAGGATTTAAGTAAACCAGTCCATTTTGTAGAACTTTTACCAATTTGTAGAATACTTTTACCAAAAAGGTTCTACCAATTGTAGAACTTTTTTACCAATAATTTATAGTTTTTGAGAGCTTTAGGGCCGATTTATCTAAGTCATACTTAACTCATCAAATTAACTGGTATAAATCATATTAAAGTCACTTTTGAAACTTAAGTTATTAATACAAAATCGGCTCTTAAATTTAAAAATTTTGACTTAAAAACTATAAACAAATAGAAGTACCTTCTGGCATTTATCTACTTGTTCTTATCCGTTGTTTGTATAATCATGGTAAAATGATTTAATTCTTGTTACCTGCAAATGGCGTATGTATATATGTAGCCACTATGGCTCGACAAGTAAGGAATATTAAAGTGGAAAAGTTGCTTAAAATAGTTGACTTTACTACAATCCATTGTCATATCAGCACATTTTGAAAATGTGTTTTCGAAAAATAGTAAACTACAACAACAAAAATTATTTTATATTATTTTAATTAATTGAATTTCTGGCTGACCATACAGCTGTTTCGAGTATTACGGAATACCCTTTATCAGTGATCTTGAAATTATTTATTGTATTTTATTATTCGTAAATAAATATTTGAGACTGCAAGTACCAGGGATTGAACTCGTGCCCTGCCAAATTTGAAGCTTAGGGTCAGCATTTTTCTAAAATTTTGTTAATTTACTGTGAAAGTTTATTAAAAAATTCACTGTGTTATATTAGAACAAAATCATAAATCAGCTGTAGAATAATTGAAGTAATTAATTATTTTTTATATTTAATTGTTAAATTTCGATACTTTTCCAGCTATATAAAGCTCCACGGGCTACAACCTATATGCATATTCAAGGGGCATATAGTACTCAGCACTCAAAGAATACGCAAACTGAACAAAACATTTTTAAATTTTGATAAGAAACTAATTACATTTAATTACATTCAATAACGTCTTCAAATATACATTTTACTATATACTTTTCATATAAATACAAAACTATTTATGTAACATACATATTTAACAATTTAATTGTCTGTCTTACTTAAAATTAACTTTCTTTAATTTCAATGATTGAATTGGACGTACAAGTTTCTTACGTTCTTCGTGATGTTTTTTCATTTGAAGTTCACGTTTCTTTTGATCTCTGTTAACTTTTTTGGTTTCAAAAGCCATTTGCCGGTTCCCAAATGAACTGCCCACATCAGTTATATTTGAGTTAAGTTCTTGTACCCTACGCACTCGTTCTCCTAAGCTTATTTTCATAGCTTTTCTCTGCAAACGATCAGCATTCACTTCGAATTTATTACTAAGCGGTATCATCTTGATAGACTTTTTAGTCTCATTTATATGTGGCATTCTTGTGGAAACTGTGCCATTTGTTTCAGTTTCCATTGCATTAACTGCATTCAGTTCTTCTTCCACCTCAGCCTCAGCTGCACGTTGTTTTTTAACATCTTTATACGCCTTTTTCATATCTTTAGCAAATTCTTTGTTATATTCTTCATCGGATGATGCATCCTCATCGCTTGAATCTCTTTCATTATTAAAACTATCTAAACCAAAGAGATCCTCATCGTTATCACTATCCTCGTGTGCTTTTGCTTCATCAGCCTGCAAATCTGCAGCAGGTGCTACTTCAATACGTTTTTTCAGTTCTTTTAGTTTTGATTTATCCAAACGATTCAGCACAGGTGCCAACATTTTATACTCTTCAGCGTTTTTATTAATAGCAAAGTCGGTATTCTCAAACATGGCCTTGAAACGCGTATCCTCGAGTAAGTTCGGTGTTTGTTTTGCTTTTTTAACTGTGCCTGTTTTGGTTTTCGATTGTTCATCTATAAGTTTAAGGGCCAATTCTTGATTGACCTTTGGTAGTTTACTTTGTATTTGTAAACGTGACTTGCGTTCATTTTCTATTTCTTGACGTATTTTTTCTTTACGGAAACGATCAAATGCAAACGGTTCCACAACTGCTTTAGCACGATTATACAATCGCACATCGATAAAGTATCTGTAATTAGATTATATTAGCATTTTTACTTTCCTTGATTAACTTAAGGATAATGTACTACTTACCCATGCATATAGGCTTTTAGCAGGTTCGTGCCAATAAGATGTTCCAAACCCAGTTCCTCCAATTCTTTTTGTGTGATAAATTGATAATCGTCATACAAGTTCTCCACAACCTTAATTTGTAATATGAAAAAAAATTACAGAATTTGATAAGATAAGTTTATATATAACAATATGTTAAATAATTAAAAATGTATATAAATATATGTAGAAGTAATATAAAAATATATGTAAAAATATACATAAAAATATATATAAATATATATACAAATATATATATAAAAATATATAATTAATATCAAAGTAATAAATTAATCAAAAGTTCATATGAATAAATATCACTATTAATCTTATTCAATAGAAATGATTAAAGAAAAAAAAAAGTACCACACAGATTAACTATTTCTATTAAAGACATTAAAATTTTTGAAAGTTGTAAATGTGTCTTTGCACTCTTTGCATGCTTGTAATGTACAAAAAATAAAAAAAAATAATCAACCATGTTCTATTATTAATGATCGTATAAAATACGAAATAAAATATTGCATATCTCACCTCAGACTCAATTTCTTCTGTTAAATTGTCCAAGAATGAACACCAACGCGGTGCTGGACCCATTGCAGGCACATAATAAGTCAACATTTTAACATCTTCCTGTGCAAGGAAAAACATGCCAGTACTTGGTATTGTACAAAAATCATTGAACTCTGACGTTGACTCAATATAAGCGGTGGGTTTCCCCTGCACAAAAAAATCATTAAAAATGAGAAAAGAAAACTAAAACTTAAGCTTACCGTAGTCTCATCCCATAACTTTAGCATAGCACTGTCCAATGTATAAACTGTCTGATGATTGGGATTAAAAGCAATACGTTTTATAGGTAATTTATTTAAATGATCTTTTATTAAAAGTGGTTCCTTCGAACGTATATCATACAATAGTACATGGCCTGAAGCCGTACCTACACCCATTTGCAACGCATTCTTAAAACTTATAGCAGATATTGAAGGGAACGTTTTTGATGCACTTAACTTAATTGCAACGTCCAAAGTGGCACAACGCGCTTTAGTACGTGGATCCCAAGCTTCGACAGTACCTTCCTTTGAACCAACAACTAGTAAATGATGTTCAGGATTCACTTCGCAAGCATTTAAACAGCTAGCTTCTGTTTCAAATGGTTGCAGAAACTGGCCACGTTCCAAATTCAAACGATAAATATCCTGAGTAGAAGTAAATTATTTTATAATCTTATTAATGCAATTATTACATTTCTAACTCACTCTTGTAGTGCCCACTATGTACAAATCACAGCTAGGTTTATGGTACTTCATATCACGTCCAAATCTGGGAATACGTATACGAAAATGTCGACCAGAAGCAGAGTGAATTTCAATAAACCGATCGCATTGCAAAAAAATCTGACAAATATAAATGTTTAAGGTTTTTTTATTTTTAATAAAGAATTTTTTATTTACGTACCAGTTTGCTGTAGTCTTCGTTAATGGATTCAAATGTGACTACTTCAGAGTCAAAGCAACGTTCAAATTTTATGGATAAATTGCAGACTTCAAAACATTTCACACGTGGTTTATAAGTGCCTGTGGCCAGAATGTGCTGTTGATCTGGGCTCATGCGAATCGACGTACAAACAACGGGCATATCAAAATCTTGTATCAACTCAATTTGCCGACGTGAGTCAACCTTTTTCATTAACTGACTCCGTTTGCGACGATCTGTTAGCCACTGTGAATAAAAGTAAATAAATAATAAAGTTAATAGTTTTAATAGCAATATATATTATATAAATAGGTGGAGTTAATTGGAAATATGTGGAGAATAATGAAATATAATACTTTACTTACATCAGGCACAGATTTGCCCGCGCTTAAATTATAAATTTTTACATCATTCACTTCGTTAACAAACATGTTTAAAACATTATATTACTACTAAACTTCTGTAAAAATATTAATGTCTTTTAAAACACTAAAATTTTATATATTCCCTTAACTTTGGCAATAAACGACTTGCGGTTTGAATTTGTAAACAATGTCGTGCCAAGATCGCACGTGCGATGTAAAAACATTAAATCAAAATTGTCAAAAGCAAAGAACAATGACAAGAACGGAGACTTCATTGAAAACAACGTACTAAGGCCGTGTGCGAGTTCGAGTAAATTGAGGTAAAGTGAATTGAAATTTCCTAGGAATTTTTGGCGCTGCACTTATGTAAATATTTATTTATTTTTTGCACTTATTTATTATTTTCGATTAAAAGTTTCTATATATATTTATCTATTAAACATCTTTTCAAATTTTCACAATGGTAGCACCTAATCGCTGCCATACCGACATAATTTGCTATTTCCCTCAATTTACCATCAATAACAAAATTTTTTTTATATTATAAAAATTAATATTTTCCACCAAAGAAGTTTCCCTTCATACAATTTTCTTTGCTATTCACAATAGTGTCAATGGCAGATAGCTTATGTTCACAATAATCTATGGTTTGGAAGCCATACCATATACAGTTTCGGAAATTTTTAAATTTTATTGTAATGATATTAAAACACTTTTAATAATTTTATATAAGAACTTATAAAAACCAGAAATCAATTATTTTTGCAACAATAGCAAAAGTTAATCATTTGTTTTTTAATTAATGTACAATAGTTATAGTAAAACAGATACTTATGCTGTTAATGTCTGTGTATAAGCATGGCTGGTGCACAGTAATATTGCTTTTTAGAAAAAATGCATTTTAAAATCTTACGATTATTTATTTAAATTATTATTATTATATATAATAACTTTTCATATTCTTAATATATTGTTTTGGCAATATTGATTTAAAAAATCTCAGCATGATTTGCTATAGTCGTTTACTAATAAAAATTTTAGATTTTACTTGTAAAAATTTTTAACCCTTAAATTTCAGTGCAGCCAAATTTAAAAATCAGTATATTGTGAATGTTCACTGGAAATATGTTGCAAAATTCCTGTTATCCGTATAAATCATATGAATATTTCATACACTAATAATTTAAATTACCTAAATATATAAAAGAATTTGATTATATAAGATAAAAATGCTTTCCATTGACCTTCTAATATTCATTTTCTTTTCTCTTATTTAAATTAATTTTAATTGTTTACAATTTTTATACATCGTGTTGTACACAACATAACTGAAACATATGTCCAAAAATAGCATTTAACATTATTTTAAAAGTGATGTCAACTTTTTTCAACCAGGGTTAATGTTGTTTTTTTTATAAAAACAATAAAAAAAAATTATTTTTTTTTATAAAAAATTACGGCTAATAATACTCAACTTAAAATGTTTGTTAACCGAACCAAAAGATAGTGTATAAAGATATATTTTTTATCGTTTTAGTTTGTATTTTTAATTATTTAATAATTGATTAATAATGAATATAACAACTTCTGCAGATAAAAGAGAAAAAACTTTTTTTAATAACGTTTATTAAATTGATATTAAAAATTATTACCATTAACTTCAATTCATTATCAATTTTATGTATAAACCAATTTAAGTTAAAATAGTTTTTGTTAATTTAATTCATAAAAAATCTGAATTGCGTTTTTTGTGAGTACAAATGCTAAAATGCTAATATATTAATATTTAAATGTTGATAGGGTTGCCAATATATAATATGCAATTTACCAAATACTATGTTTTCGCAAAGAGCAAATCTTACACATATGCACATGATGTAAGCAAATTACATATTGCAATAAAATAAATAATTAATATAAAATTGAAAATTAAAATGAATATGAGTTAAGGCAATGTTAAGAATGCAGGATATTATGAAATTTGCCTTTACAACAAAATTAAAAATGTAACTTAAAAGTTAAAAAATTTAAAGTGCTTTTTGGTTATACTTTCTTCACATAGTCATATAAATTTTTGTATATATTTGTATACATACTTATAAAATATGTATTTACCACAATTTTGCATATTTTTAAACATTTCTTTTTCATAATTATGAAAATTGTGAAACTTTTTAATTGTTTTTGCATTTTTGTTTACAAATTTTTGTCATGTGATTGGAATATTCGCTGAAATTTCCAATGAGGGTTCACAATAGTGTGCTTATTATATTGGTAACACTTTTTTCTATATCACTTCAGAACTAGGTGCTTAGACAGAGAAACTAGTGTTGTTGTTTAGTGTATACTTAAACAACTATAGACCAGCAACTTGGTGTTTTTTGCCACACTTATGAGCCGTCGAAAGCACATATTCTTACCATTTCTTTTAAATCTGTATTCATATTAAATTTCAATTTTATATTAATTACTTATTTTTAAAAAATGTAGTTCGCTTGATTGATGCGCACATATACAAGATATGCTATTTGAGAAAATAAAGCATTTGATGGGTTGCAACAGTGAGACCAGTGTCTCGCTAAACGCTTGTAGTCCAGTAACTTGCTATTTTTTTTTTATTTCCTACACGTAATAGTTGCCGAGATCATCTATTGTTGCATGAGAATACGCTTATTATTGATAGTTTTTTGTATATAGTTACATGATTATTAAATAATTGTATATTTTAATATTATTTAATTTAATTTTAACGCTATGTTTGTATGTATATTTTAATTATGTAAATATATAATTTTATTATAGAGATTATATCTGTTGCGATATAGAGCTGTTATTATTCTTTCTTTTCGTGAAATTTATTGTGAACTGTCAACATTCGATAACTAGCTCATGCGCTCTTATCGAGAAACTAACATTTTCAAAACAGACAGAAAAAAATAGAAACGAGGATAGAAGTGCAGAACAAATTGAAAAGAATTTTAGTATTTTAAAAAGTGAATATGTCTGTTCAAGTCAAAATAAAAACGCAAATATTATAATACAATTTAATAAACCAATTATAACAGCTGATATACTTAATTACGTTATTAAATTTGTTTAATAAAAAAACAGAAAAGAGGCCGTGAATTTCTTGCAGTATTTAAAGTTAAACGTAATAAAAATTTTTCTTTTCTACAAAACAAGTTATATTACGAATATAAGAAAGCTAAAGAAAAAAGTGCTTCGTAAATTTAATTAATTATAATATGTAATATATTATCAACAACTACAAAAAATAGTGAACAATATAAAATTATTAACAAAATTACTTAAATAACGATTAAAAAGAAATCGGTGAGTATTTCAGGATTTCCTCTTTGTCTGTTGTTGTTGTGATGTTTGCATTGTGCAATGTTCAGTTTTGTTGTTGTCGTTGAGTTAGAAATTAAATTAATTTTTGGCACAGGACAAAATTAAAAAAAAAATATTACAATTGATAGTGACAAACCACCCTTTTTGTTGTATTTATGTGTATAATATGTAACACACGATGTGTGTGAATTTCTGCACAATGAATTACAAACAAAAGAAACCAATGCACCCCCAAGTAGCGCTACACTTTGTGGCCAGCACATTAGTTCGATAGAATAAGCATCGTATCATACCTATATGTGGAATTATATAGAAATATATTGATTTTTTTATTTACATATATATAGTCAATAACATAATATTAATTATTATTATTTTGATATTTTGCTTCTTTTAATAATTGCAACTTTGTTCTTTTATTTTAAAACAATATTTGCATTGAATTCCGTACATGTCATTGCTTTGGCAAACTATTTATGAAGAACTGATTATAGGGTAGAAGTGAAGAAACTACAAAGAAGTTTCATCAACCTGTAGCTGCTCCAAAGTCACCATAAGGGTAGATAGGAGTTGAGTGCATTAGATGATGTTTGGTAGTTCTCTAAGGCTTTGCTTGTCTTTATATGTACATATATGCATTTAACGAGAAAAGTGCAAACCGTAATGCAATTCGAAAGTCTTGTTACATCTTTGTGGAAATATAAATTACTTAAATTTTTGTTAAAGATGATTTGCGGTGTCGATAGCGTTTGCGACATCTACTTGGTTCGATTTCTTTACTTGGTTCGATTTATTTACTTAGTTCGATTTCTTTACTTAGTTCAGTCTACTAAGCAGAGTTTGATTGTTGATACTAACAGCGGTTCCACGTGGTAAACTTAACCGCATTTATATTATAATTATGGCGTATTCTGTACAATAGGTCTGTTCCACGAACTACTCATAGTAAAACATGAGTAAAACAGAAGTAAAATTTACACAAAAATACTTGAAAATTTGCTGGTGGAACGCGCTTGTGTATACACAGTGTTTACTCAAAGTTACTATGAGTAGCTCGTGGAACAGACCTAATATTTGATTGTATAAATTTAGCCTATTCACAAAGAGTTTGTACACAAGTTTTCCAATTTTGCCTATATCGGGCGATAGATCTTATTTCACCTATCGATTTATTCATTTCATTGTTTATGGTTCTACGTCAAGAATTGCATTATCGTTCACGGGTTCTACTGCCATGTGGAATCCAGGTTAGTGTCGTATGTGCTACTTCATTTGTGCTTTTGGGTAATGTGTTTCTAATCCACCTATATTTCCGTTGTCGAATTTCTTTCTCGATGGGCGCCTGCATAGTTGCACGCCGTAGTCATTCATTTGAGATTGCTCTCGATGTCCAAATGCGCAGAATTAGCCGAAGACATCTGTTGATGAAGCTTTGCAGTTTTTGGATAGATGCTCGCGTAAAGTGCCATGTTTTACTACCATACAACAGTTAGAGCGTGACATCGCTAGATCCGAGTAAGTTTTCTGAAGGATGCTCGGGCTTTGCGTATTCGGTTTTGAATGTCCGCATTGGCTCTCCCGTCAGTTGCTACCTTACTACCTAAGTATTCAAATTCACTAGCATCTACTTATGCTATTCTTGTTGTTGTAGGTTGGGTTTCTCCTTCGTTTATTACGAAGGTTACTTGGTTCCTCTTCCTTGCGTACAATGGAATTTAAAAAGGTGTTGTAAGTGGCACTTGATCATCTATATGGGTCCAGAATGACGATTTAATCGTTTCTGGAGTCTTAGCAGCTATTTATCTGTACGACTCTGGTACGAACATTTACAAGTCCATACATTAATTAAAATTTATAATAATAATAATACAATATTTAATTGATAATTAATTAAATGTAATAGACAATTTCATGTGATGACTCTTAAGAACGATATACATTGCTTCTTTCAATGTATCAGTTCCTTCACTCCAGTCAGTTAAATTTCGTGACCGTGTTATTTTATAAGCGTTTATAAAATCAACGTATTATTGTACATCCGGTACTTATGTTAACTGTTTTCGGCAGTACGAATTTTTTTCTGTTCAAAAAAAAAATATTTGGTAATGAAAAGAAAAGGGTTCTGTAGATGTAGAAGCTTCTTGAGAAGCATTCCGGATGCTGGTGAGCTGAAACATCAATTCAATACGCTTTAAAATCGGTCAAGTCGTTATATTGAATTAAAAGAAGATTATTTTGAATAAAATAGATACTTAATACATACATCAATATGTTTGACTCTGGGCATTGCTTAAGATCCATTAACTTTAATGTTCTCTCTTGATAGAGTATCTTGCTCGTTTTCATGTAACAAGATGATAAAAGGTTCGCAAACATATAATCCTATCATATTAAGAAGATTTATTTTTTAATTTTTCTTTTTGAAAAAGTGGTTTTTCAGATGTCCATAATCATTATTACTTAACTATCTATTAGCCTAACTATATCTCAACTATATAAAATATAGTTATGAGCATTGCTTTACACACAACTGTAACATGCAATCAATTTAATTTTTTTTATTCCATTATAAATTATTACGAAATGTGCTATTACTAAACAAATTATTTTATTAAAAATATATTGAATGTCTGTAATTATCTGTTTTTTTTAACATATCAAATTACTGAAATAGAAAAGGCAACTAAATTATAATGAATTGTTCTGTTGTTAAACATATTTTCGTTATAATATGAGGTGATACTATGAAAACCAATCATTAAATAAACAAAATTGTTAATTGTTTTTAACATTATAAGAGATATGTGGATATACCACATGTTATCATCAGATGGTTTTTATTCAGGGTCAATTACTGCATCTAATTTTATAGATATTTATTTTTAAAATCTTAAAAATTTATTTAAAAATCAGTATTGTTTTTTTATACGTCAGCAACACATATATTAAAGAATTATGAAAAACATTAATAAATTAAATAAAAGAGAATAGTTTTGTTAGAGTATAAATATATATATTATTATTATTTCAATACTCCATTAGGATCTTAAGCATTCTACAAAAATTTTGCACTGGTTTATATTTTGTGCTATTGCTCTCAACTCGTTACACGATTTGCCCGACTTCTGCAGAACTATCCTTCTCCAGGTCGTTGCTGGTTTGCGTCTGCGCCTAGGCCCCTGGGGATTCCAAGTAAGTGCAGCATACGTCATATCTTCATAAGACTTACACAGTGTGTGTCCTTTTTAAATGAAGCTCTCGTTGTCTATGATGTGATGCCCATTGATTGTAAAGTGAGTTGAGTTTTAACTGATGTTTATCTTTAAGCCAACTTTCGATGATTCGTCTTTTCTTTTATTTATTTTCGACTGCATTTGCTGATGTGAGTGCGAAACCAGTACAATGACGTCCGCATACGTTAGATCTTCCAACCTAGTATTTAGCCTCCAATTGGTGGAGGCAGCATTTAGCACCCAATCAAGCACAACAATATATACATATGTATAATAGCATTTTATAAAAATGAATATGTCTAGTAAGTGGTAAAATTAGAACAGATACATTTCGAGGACCTCTTAACGTCGGTAAAATAGTATGTATTGCCACAATGTCGGCGCAGTTATTCAGACTAATGATGTCAATATCAATATCTGCATACGCAAGCAGGATATTACACTTTTGTAGAATATTTTGAATTATTTTGAATTATCATTTCCAAAATTAGGTTAAAGTAGTCACACGACAAGGAGCCACCTTGTCTGAAACCTCGTTTGGTATATATATATATATATATATATATATATAGCCTTCAAAGTATAGTATAAAGGCTTACACATCCACTCTGAACTTTACTACTCCATTTAAATTAAATGTATTTAAAAAATTTGCTCTATGCATGACACTTTTCATCAACTTTAAATATTATTCTTCAATTTTAACTCCGACTACATGTAGGAAAGTCTAGGGTTCGATCACTGAATCTTCAGCTATAATCCATAATTTTGTGGTTTAGAGAACTTTGTGAGTTCTTCAGCTTTAGCTATAATATCATTATATCTAATAAAGTAAATTTATTACAATGCAATTTCAGTTTTATCTTAAGATTTCCAAACAGTTAGGGTCAGCGATAGATAACCCTGATTCCATTTGTAAGTCCATACAAATTAAAACCTAATGATAAAAACATAAAATTAAATTTTCATTGATTTTTGTATTGACTTTTAAATTGCACAAAAAAAAACTTTTTAGATGTTTGTCCCTCAACCGGGTACATTAGTGGTATTAGAAAAAATCCATACTCTCAAATAGCCAATGTCATGGAAAGTGAGATTATAATTTCATTACAAATGACAAGTGGAAAATGAAAAATAAAAAGAAAATTCTGAAAGACGACCGCAAATAAACTGATTTAAATGACCCTATTTTACTGTGGCCCTGTATGATTTATTAAATTTATGTGCCCGTATTTAGTTTGAAATTTAATAAAAAAGATAAAAATATTTATTTAAAAATTCTTTTTACTGATATGCAAAAATATTCCAAATATTGTTTGTATGATTTTAAGTGAAAAACAAAAAAGTAATAAAATAATTAATTAAGTTTAAAAGATAAAAAATAAACCTATTGCATACGAAATATATGACAAAGCAATTTTGTTTTTTTTTTTCAAGAACCAATGACACTACTTCATTTAATAATAGTTTTTTTTATTTTTTTATTCATCACAAACTACTGATTTAAAAATAAACATTAACACTGAAAACGTTGAATATATAATATAATAATACTGATGACATTATTTGCTCAATGCAATCATAGTACAATATACGTCCAGACCATCAACACATGCTAGAAAACCTTGCTTTTAATATTAAATATCAATTTACTGAAAATGAGTCAATATATTCTTTTGATTCATAAGAATACACAATATCATTGGAGATATTCTTGGAAGCACAGACCGCATTCGCTCTTATCAAGCAAAACTTTCGTGAAACGTTTGATTTTAAATATCTAAAAAACATTTCATTTTATTTCAACATTGAACATAAAAATTGGTCAAATATTTATATTATTCTTGTTGTTTTACTTACTGTATGTATGCCACGTGTAGTTAGCCGAAACCGAATGGATTTCGAATGCATTGAATGCTTGCAACTAAAACCAATTTTAGTGCCTATAGCGACAGGCAAACGTAGTTGCTATTTGTGTCGTGCTTCACTTATATTTACATTACTGTTGTTGTTGTTTTACTTACTGTATGTATGCCACGTGTAGTTACCCGAAACCGAATGGATTTCGAATGCATTGAATGCTTGCAACTAAAACCAATTTGTGTTGTGTTTCTCTTCTTGTGACAGAGTATGTTTCTGAGAACAAATTTGTGACAGAGAAGTGGATAATTATATTATCTATTATTTTTAAGTTACTAATGTTTTCTTTATAATGTCACGTCACAGTGCGATTACGATTTCCAGGGCAGATCAATTTGACAACGCAATTTAGTAGTCCTCTATTTTGAGCAAATTTTTCCACTAGACAAAATGTCGATATAGCTTATTTCTCGAAACTTCATTTATTGATTCTACTTTTTTGTTTTTATTTTTAATCTAATATATATAAATAATAATATACAAATTTAATTATATCCTTATGCTAATTCAGATTAGTTAGCTCCATAGTGCATGATAAATATGTTTATAATATATGCATTATATATATTTTTAATATATATTTATATAATATATATATTATATATATGTATAATATATATTTATATATAAATATATTATATATTTGTATATATATATAAATATATTTTTAATTTCTAAATTGGAGGTCTATTACATGCAACTTTTTAAGCTTTTTGACCTCATCGTCTAAGAAAGCTAAAGCTAATGAGTTAACGTCTTTCAAGGTATTTTGAGGTATATTTTCGTATTGCCTCTTTTATGTAGGGGTTTCTGATTTCTATACAATTTTCTTTTTATTTTATAACTAAATTTACATGTACTTCTTATCACTTTTACCTCTCTTTTTGGTGATTTGACCGATAAGTGCTTAACGAAGTGAAGTGAATATATTTTAAACCGCAAAATTAATAAAAGGTACATACCATATTTTAAAAAAGGCAATTGAATAAATAAAAGTCAAATGAAATTATATTTCATCATTTAAATCATAAAAGAACCTCATATATGTTATGTATAATAAAATTATTGTAACTATCTGAGGTTGCTACTTTGTTGTTAAATAAAAATGTTCAACTCTTTAGTGAACTAATATTTTTTATGTTAATTAACATTTTTCTTATCTCACAGTTTGAACTTTGGCCATCGTATAATTATTTTAAAACAATTCCGAAAGATTCATGAGTTATAGGTTCAGTGTGATCATATAGTAATTGCAAGATATTAGCTTGGTCATCAGTGCAACTTACTATATAGTAGAGTTGTTAAGGACGTACTCTCAGAGCGTACTGAATTGTTTAAATGTTTTAAAATAAAGTTATAATTAAATTATTAATGATTGTGCTTTCAAATGCATTTCTTTTTGACAAAAAATTGTTTGAAATTGAATAGTTTATATATAATATTAACATTTTCAAATGATTGTCAAAATGGCGACACCTGACCAAAAGCGTAAATTTGGTATCACTTCGTTTAATTCCGCAGCTTCGGTTGCCCTGACCAATAGAGATTGGCTCATTAAAGGGTTTTTGTTTTGTGATGGCTGTAGTTAGGATCTAAAAATACATTAGTAGAATGATTGTATTAATTTACTTTCATTGGATATAGATTTGCGTTTTTCAACCGGATGCTTTGACCCAAAGAACAGCACAGGTTTTAGATAACTTCCCATCATGGAGGAAATTATATCTAAACTTATAACTTTAATTGGTACCGGCGGAACTTCTTTGTATGTCAATTGGATGTTTATCGGTGCATTATCTTGATACGTTAAAAACATCGTGGTATTAAGCCTTCTCAAATCATAAAAGTAGGAATGAAGCATTAAGCCCCTCTGTTGTACTGTCCCGTCTGTGCATAGAGTAAAAATACTTTTGTATAACATCATTAAAAAACTCTAATATGAACTTATGGAACCCAGCTATTTGGTAATGCCAGTGGTTCAAATATGGAAATTCGTCAAAGTGTTAACTGAAAAGTGTTACTGAAAACAAACATCGTCAACCCATGGTACATAATATTGAAGCATCCATATTAAAAAAATCTGATAAAAAATAATAATCCCGTCGGTAGAAATCTTTTAACTATACCCAGAATTTCTCATTTACAAAGAGCTGATCGTCCAGGTATTAATCCAAATTAAGTAAATTGTTCCGTAGAGTATAGCAAGCGTTATTTGCGTCCTTTAGTAAATAATATATCATAATTCAACTAAGTCCGAGTGATTTTAATGAGGCTCGTACTATAAGCTTTACCGATACATTTCAATAAATGGATACATTCCACAAGATATTATTCCTTGCTTTTTCTATAAAATTTCTCCATTCATGAATACTTAGTAAATATGGAACTAAGTATTAATTTTTTGTAAGTATTTTTCTAGCTCAGTTTTTGTCGTTATTAAAGTCTATAGTCACATTTAGTTCGGATATCAAAGCAATTCAATTTTTAAAAAATAATAGTTTTTCATTAAATAAGTGCTGCACTTTTTTTTTGGATTTCCGCATCTTTACAAGTTCATTACACGATGGATTTAATCATAATATCGTTGGTAGTCCAGTTCTTATATTAACCATATTGTTTGGGTATCGAATAGTTTTCCTTGTATAGATGTCTGTAATTTTTCTAATGGCTTATGACCTCATTCACGCATATATATGCGTTGCATAATTTAAAACCGTTGCCCCAAAAACTATCTATTTTACCTTCGGATCTCCTAGGAGTATCGTTCAGGCACAGTTTCGTCAATTTAGCCTCTTTCAACTTCTCATTTATATCAAAGTTCGTGTTATAATTCAGATTTATTCGTGGGTTATTATAATCCTTTACGATTATAATATTTACTTGTTATTATTATTATTTAGACACCATTTATCTTTTTTCTCTGATGATAGAAGTCTGGCATACTTCTCGAATATCATAACTTTTGGTTTGCTTTTATTTATGACTGGCCCTACTAGTTGTAACAATATCTGTAAACAGCACAATATCTTCATATGGAAACATATTATGGAACAAATCAGCAATCTTAATTGCAACAGGAAAAAATTTACTTAAGGTAGCCATAAACAAAGCATCCCTTATGGTTGACTCATTGTTTTGGTATAGTGTTTTCATAATTTTGGTGGAGAGACCCATAGGAGACCCATAGGAGACTCATCTGGTTAATTTTGCTACTTAAAGCTTACAGAAAATACGTACATACAACTCTGAAGTCTTGTGCTCCACTAGTGAGGACAAAAATGGTATCAACCATAGAGTAATCCTGACGAAATCCGGATTGAAATTAATATTCTGTTGTTGTCTACACAGTTTATTCCATTATAGTGGACACTCTATAATGTGCAACATTGTTTGTATCATTTTTTTTTAAATAGAGAGGAGGGAACTATTTGGTGGTATTGCATTTTCAAATATATGTATATATGTATGTTTCCACCATTTGGTGTATAAATTGAGGCGTGGCATATTTTATAAACTTAGCTGTAATTCTATATTCACCTGCAGATTTATTATTTTTAATTGTTGTATTATGTGTGGTATATAAGTATTATATATAGGTATATATATATATTTTTTTCTATTTAATTGTAACATAGATTTTTTGTTGTGATTATTCTCTTTGGATTACATATGTTACTTTAGTTGCTTGAACAATTGCTGTACTGTATACATACACTCAATATAGCATGAGCCGATTGTAATTGCACCTAAAAGGTGGTTTTGTCATGTAGTAAACTAATATTAACAACTGTTGGAAAAATCTTATGAGTGTACATTATCATTTCACTCATATAAGTGTGCTCCTTTCCAGTTCCTATCATTTGCTGCATTAATATACTTAACATACTATGGGTAGATTGTGTCGTCTCTATTCCTGCGGAGCTGTTGTCACCATGCAAAAGTGTGTTCTTTCTTTACAATTTACAGTTGTGAATAAATAATTAATTAACTTAATAGAAATTTGCATAATAATTTATGTGTGTAGTGAGTTTTTCATATCCAAGCTCCCAAAGCGATAAACAATTCTTTTATTTGTAAAATTTTTTTTAAATATTTAGTTGTCAGTTTTTAAGCTCATTTATTTTGAAATAGTTTTTTTCTCACATTTCATAGTATTTCTAAACTAGATTAGGACAAAATGTTAAAACTTGTTAATTACTCGTATCGAAAATTTGACCAGTTTCTAGAAGAATGTATAACCGTTTACGTTATCTAATATACATGTATATGTATATATCATGCTATATGATATATATCATGTTGTACGATATATATATCATGCTGTATGATATATATACATAAAAAAATATAGGAAAGTATATATTAATAACAAAGTGCTTTTATTTATATTTTTAGGTCCAATCATGTCGTCAGCACCATACAACTATGATTACATTTTCAAATATATCATCATCGGTGATATGGGCGTAGGCAAATCATGTCTATTGCATCAATTCACAGAGAAAAAATGTAAGTAGTTTTGAAATTATTTAATTATGATTTAAGTTAATTAATTATACAATTAATTCTCTCGTTTAGTTATGGCCAATTGTCCACATACAATTGGTGTTGAATTCGGCACACGGATCATAGAAGTGAATGATAAAAAAATCAAACTGCAAATCTGGGATACAGCAGGTCAGGAACGTTTTCGTGCTGTTACGCGTTCGTATTATCGTGGTGCTGCTGGTGCTCTCATGGTGTATGATATTACACGGCGGTGAGTTTATGTAGCTATTATACATATACATATACTACTAAAATTAAATAGCCAATGCATTGACCCGGTTAAAGGTCAGAAAATCGACACGCACTAAACAATTGTTTATGATGTAAAATGTGTATGCCTAGAATTGCAAATCAAGTCTTCATGACCGCACCTAGGTGTACACATCTCCAAATTGATATATCAATTTGAGATCTATTGATTAATGGCATCGTCCATGGAAGTTACAGGATCTCTTACATCATTTCGGGCTAGCTTTAATTAGTAAACTCCCAGTTTTCACATTCTTCAACACACATCATATAATCCTTTCTCATTATATATCATTCTATTCTATGAATTCTTTTATCTCGTCTAACTCTACGTATTTATTTGAGCTACGACAACACACACAACAAATAGCACTTGCCGTGCTTTGGTTGGTGTCACTAATTAAATAAAAATAAGTGACAATAAAACCTGGAACTTGAGCATTGAAAGTTTGTGCAGCCTTGGCTTCTTGTGGATAAACACGATTAGTCATCGCTTCTAATTTGACAGGCACGACTTCTAAGCCTGGCACTTGCAGTCCAAACAAATTATATACGGACTATAAATTAATTAAATAAAAATTCGATTATTCCAAAGACCACTGATGAAGAGTACTTGGCAATACTCGAAACAGTGTTTTATGGTCAGCCAAACTTCAATAAAATTAAAATAAATTTTTGTGTTTTTGCCTTTATTTCTTGCTTTGTTATTCAAAACCCCAGTAAAAATTTAATACATATTAACTGTTTACAGTTTACAAAGTTTACAAATGATTAATTTCTTTTACTTTTTCACAGATCAACTTACAATCATCTCAGCAGTTGGTTAACTGATACACGTAATCTCACAAATCCAAGTACAGTCATTTTTCTCATTGGTAATAAATCTGATTTGGAAAGCACACGCGAAGTGACTTATGAAGAAGCAAAGGAATTTGCAGATGAAAATGGCTTGATGTTCTTAGAGGCAAGCGCCATGACGTAAGTGAAATTATAAAATAATACGTAATTAGTAATCGACGGTATATAAAGATAGGTTTAAAAAGTATATGTTGCTGTTTTTATAGTAACCTGTGAAGGTATTTGTTGGTATTGCCTTTATTGACAGAGGTTGGAAGGCTATTTCTGGAACCTGATAAATTTGTTTATGAAAGAATTTCAAGAGAAACATTAAGTGTCACTTGCTATAAAATAGCACCTTTATATTTATATAACAATAATGGCTTTATTCATATATTATAATAGAAATATTCTAGTTCTTTGTGAAAAGTGTAACTCGTAACGGGAGTGATGATAAGTATTTGTACATGATATGGATTGACTTTGATTGATCCATTGATCAATTATTGTTAAGCGATTTTTATAACATAATTTACATGACAGAAAGTGTTCCTAAAATACTTAAATGATTTTTAAAATCATAGGTGAGCAAAGCTGATTAAGAATAATAAAAATTATTTCAATAGTCAGTCAGTTATATTTAGATATCAATCTATGATAAATAAATTCTGTGATGAATTACAAACGCTCCGTGGTTTGTTGATAACGTAGAGATATGTAGAGATTTAGAGATTCCATATCAAAAAAAAGAAATACGTTAACTTAGTGAAACGTAACTATTTACTATTTATATATAAGACACCACATATGAAACTAGAAAACATAGAAAACTAGAAGACCACAAATTGCATTCTAGATCTGGCCTATCTGAATTAAAATTAATCGTATGCATTTCTATATAAGTTTAGATTGGGAAGTCTGTCAGTTAAGAATATATATCTTTTTAAGCATAATTACAAACTTCTCAACGGTTCTCTGAATCAACTGATAGGACTCAAATGTCTATGCGTGACATTTCTTGCCAACCTGTTCTTTTTTTTATTCAGTAGAAGTTATACAGTTTTTGTATGAGTTTAACAATATATTTGTTAAACTGGAATATATATCATGTTTCAATATAAATATATATATAAAGAATTTGTAGTAATAAAATTTTCTTTGTATCGATTAAGTGGACAGAATGTAGAAGAGGCCTTTCTCGAAACTGCGCGTAAAATTTATCAGAATATACAAGAGGGTCGTCTTGATTTGAACGCTACAGAATCGGGAGTACATCATCGGCCATCGCAAGCAGGACGGACATCACTTACAAATGAAACACCGAATGTAAAGGATCAGTGCTCGTGCTAAATTATTTATGCTAAGTGGTTTTACTTATATATGCTTTTAATTAATTTTTTTATTACTCTTATTTAATAAAATTCTCATATACATTTTAATATATTATTATTATTATTATTATTATTATTATAATTATTATATTGTTGTTATCTTTATTTTATTCCTAAAATTAAGATAATTAACTGAACAAATTTAATCTATACGCAGCAAATACAAAAGTTGTTAGACAAATTAGAAATACATGAGAGAAAAATTAGTTAATCTTGTGCTCGATTGTCGGTAGTATAATTTTATAAATGAAATATACAGCCTAGTACATTTATTATATATGTATGTAGTTAAATTCTAATAGTATATAGTACTAAATGATCTTTTAGCTTTTATATAATGTGAAAAATATACTAACGGAATATAAAAATGAGTGCATGAGTGGAAGGAATATAACATTCCTATCATTTATAATTTAAACTGATTTAAAAATATAATTTTGTTATAATTAATCATTTCTTATATGAATAATACAAATAAAATTATTTTCTAAATTAGAATTTTGTTTGTTTGTTTATATAACTATTATTTTTTATATAATGGATAATTAAAGAACATTACCATAAGTAATTAAATTATTCATTGAAAATGTCACACTACATATGAATTATCAATCACGAAGTTAACCCTTCCGCTTCAGACACGCATGTACATCAGTGCTCAACCGAGTTCAAATTCCTAACGTGCAAGCTAACAGCATTAAAAAAGTAAAATATGAAGTGCTAGCCAACAATATTAAAAAAATGAAAAATCAAAAAATAGCAAATAAAATTTTTATTGGAAGAATTAGTAAAAAAAAAATTGTTTAAATTATTTTTAATAACAATTGTTTACTGCAAAAGGTGTATGTCTCACTAGTGCTTCAAAAGAGCATAACGATGTTATTTAAGTTCAAGGCGAATTCGATGTTATTGCGAAGTTGTTTGAATGGAACACTTTAAAGGTTCGAAAATGTTTGAGTTCTTATATGTATCACAACAAATGATCGAATATCAATATGTTCGAAACTTCGATCAGCTTATATTACAATTGAAACTATACTGTGCACATTGTAGGTCACCTTATGTGATCTACATAAGGCATTATGCTCTTAATTCTGTTGTGTATATTGAACAACAGTTATAAAGATTATAGCTACAAAAATTTGATGCTGATTCTTCACATTCATACATTTATGACGACAAATCTATTGTTTGACAGCTGACTATGTTTTCTAAAAAGCATTAATAAATTATTGCTTACATAGATTACTTAGATGGGTACATATTCACAAACATTACTAAACAAAATAATAACATAATACTTGATTGTATTCAATATTAAAAAATAATACAAAAAGTTTTAGTCTTTTTGTGTATTATAAATATTTTTTGTTATTAAAAAAAGATTCTATTTTTTTTAAAGATAACTGTCTAATTACTGTAATAAAAAAAATTTGACTCTGACTCTGAGCTTCAAATTTGGCAGGACACGAGTTCGATTCCTGGTACTTGCAGTCTCAAAAAATTATTTACGATTAATTGGGTAATACTCGAAACAGCTATATGGTCAGCTAAAAATTCAATTAATTAAAATAATACAAAATGAATTTTTGTTGTTGTAGTTCACTACTATTCGAAAAAACCACTTTATAAAAAAATATATATAAAAACGACTGTATTTTGTTGATTTAGCATTTCATATAAAAGTATTTTATTTTAATAATAATTGATTCAAATTAGATGATCACTCGTTATATAGTTTGAATTAAGCCCTAACTTTAGAAAAACTAATGTTAATATTCTTAGAGATGTACTTCTGTTTGAAAAAAAAAAAACAGGTATCCGAAATTTCCCTCATGCACTCACTATGTTGTCTTCGAATGAAATCCATGCCAAGATTTATAAATACATAAAAATGTAAAGTTTAGTTTCCAAAGATTAATTTACAAAATTTTTCATTTTTATCTTAAAAAAATTTTAAACCTATTACTTTTGATAAAAATATGATATCATTCGTTATGTACAAATCCATCCGGAAAGATCTAAAAATGTTTTCATAAACATTTCATTAATTTTGGCAATACTTTACGTTTAAAAATGAATCTATATATTTTGTATATATAAAAACGAAATAAATTATATATTTAATAAAGTAATTTTTAATTAAATTGATTGTATTGTATTATATATCAATGTTATGTTTATTGAAATATAAACTGTACTAAATTTATAAAACATAATAAATGACATAAATATTGAGAATAAATAGCGTAAATATTATGAAACTACAATAAATTAAATATGTGAAATTATAATAATTATTTTTGTTTTTAATTGACACTAACGCCTATATTAAGTTGCAGTTTTTGGTCTTATATTTATAATATAAGATTAGGATTTTAAAGTCCAATATTGTAGAAATATGTATGTAAATTGTTGTTACAGTCTAAAAAGTTCTTATCTATGAAAATCAGAGTTTGTTTTTGCCTACCCATGAGCAACTCTTTTCTGCTCACAGCTCATGAGCATGCAAGAAACTCTTTTAATACGATTGTTCACGCTCACGAGCGAGCATAATTGCCGAGCTCATGCTCATGAGCAGGAGCCACCATTAAATGATAAATTTGTTTACGCACATGAGCAAGAGTACGAACTGAGGCTTATGAGATCTCATGCGCTGCTTACAAGAAGGTTACCAATATGCTGAAAAATAGGACGATAATCTTTGAAATGGGGGCGAAGAGATTAACTGTCAAGGATGCCCTCAAGGAGGCGTTCTATCGCCGCTCCTATGGCTATTGCTCATTGACGAACTCCTACAGTCTCTTAGTGACCTCGAATATAAAGTTCAGGGCTTTGCAGATGATCTGGTTATCATGGTTAGAGGCAAATTTGACTCCACCATATCCGATCGTATGTAACTAGCTCTTGACATCACTCAAGATTGGTGACAATTAGACGCTCATTGTCGCTGAGGGAAGTAGCTTCGGTTTGCTTTCAGAACCGTAGGAATACGTTATTATACTTAATATTTTATACTGTGTTAAATATTCTATATGCATTCTGATTATAAATAAGGAAACTGCTGGAGTGCTATGAAAATGATTATCGAAAAATATGGGCATTAATTGAGCCAAATTGACTTACATTTAAGCATTACTTAACAAATAAGTAATAACTTGGAAAGAGTAGAGTTAGGGAAATATGATTTAATTATAATAGGCGAATATTAAAAACCTGTTTCAGAGGTTTTTCTATATTTTGTATTAATAATTGAAGTCAGTTTTCATGTACCTATCTATCTTTGGTGTAAACACACTGAACCTTGAATAGGTTAAGTAACATTATAGCTACTCTAATGAATGTTTCTAATAATTTGTTAAGCATTTTCAGAACAAATAAAGTTAAACTAATGGACCTACACTTCTTCGAGCGTAGGGGATTAATTTCACTTGTGTTTGTTAAATCAGAAAACAGCACATAGTTGAGCCTTAAGCATTCCTATATATATATATATATATATTTGCCATTGCATATTGTACGAGATTTGAATAAGTCAAACTTATTTACTCCGATTCCATTTTTTTGGTAGTGATAATGTTTGATATCTCGTTAAGAGATAATTCACGCTATCTCTTGTTCGCAATCTACAACGTCCTTACAGCCAAGAGAATGTGTATTCACGAGGTCTTCTAGTGAGTACTCACAACAGTAATTTCACTTTTTAGTCTTTTTACATATTAGCTATACCATATTCGAATATTTAGATAAAAGTTTCCTGAATCTACGTTTGTTTGTTTTTTCTGTTATCATAAAAATTCTTCTATGACTTCTTCTTAACTCTGTAACTTTGAAAACGCATCTGGCATATTGACTCTGGCGTGGTCGTTCAAAATCGTTGGATCCCGTTAACAGTTAAGTAGTAGTCTCTTGTTGTATATAACCGTTTTTTATTGCTCTAAATTTTAGCAATCGCCAATACACAAATTTCTTTAATAATAATAATATAATATAATTTATTTCCCAAGTTTTCTATATTCCTATTGATACGTGATAATAGTTTTATTCGAGTTATAGAGAACCTAGAGTTATAGTAGTTCGAGTTATGGAAACAGAATTGTATGTAATTTGCTCTCTAAAACCCTGTTGCACTCTTTTTAGTTCGAATCATAGAAAATTCGAGTTATAGAAGTTAGAGTTATGGAAGTTTGACTGTATGTAGCCTGCTTATAATAAATATCTCACTGCTACAATATCTACCTTTCTTTTTATTTCAAACTTCGATTTTTAAATCAAAAAAAAAAAATTTAATAACAAATTCTTTAAAGATATTTTGTTAAATTTTATATTACAAAACAATAAAATTGATTATCTTTGAATTTCCATACATTAATTTCTAATTGTCAAGATACAGACAATGCAACGCAAAGCGCCTAGTTCACAAAAATCTGCATCGGTACGATTTTCGTTACAATCTGACAAGGATTTCTCATCGGTTACACATGGCACCGACATGCACGATTGGTTGGATTGGTTAGTATATGTATAATGTGAGGAATATGAACTGTATGATTTTCAAAAAACTCTTTAAATTGTAGGGAGGAGGGGGGATCATCAGTTAAATCAATGAGAAGAATAAATTTATTATGGGAACGTTTAAAAAACCTACCACCGAAGTATAAACAATTAAATAAAAAAATATTCTTAAAATTATAATCATTTTCCGTTTTTTTAGTACTCGTGACAAATTACTCGAGTACTTTCAATTCAAAGCGGCGCGTACAATTCAGGCTGCCTGGAGAGGATATTATACACGTAAAATGTTGAAAATAAAAACCGAAGCTGCTGAGATCATACAACGTGCTTGGAAATCTTTTTTCGCAAAGCGTTACTATTATCGCTTACTAGAGTTCACAGTTCAACAAAGTATTGAAGCTCACTATTACCGTGCGGCACAGATTATACAAGCCTTTTGGCGTGGGTATCTGGTAAGGAAGCATATACACGATCAATATCGTTTGCAACGCTTACAACTGGGAGCTGCCGAAGATTTGCTTAGTTGTGTTGCATACAGATTACATCATCTGTTACGCACGCATCAAATACCTGGCATATATTCCATTCGTAATTCTAGGTGGGTAAATGGATTAATTAGTATTCACTTTGAGCCAGTTTCGATCTCGAGCTTGGTTTCATAACATTATATAGGATTTATACTGGTATCTACTTTTAATACTGATATATCACATTTTAAAAATCTACTTGTAGCTTAAATACTTTACTATATTTTAGTTAGTTAGTTAGGAACGAGTCCTCCTCAATTAGCTAAAAAAACCATTTTGAATTCATAAAACCTCGTAATAGTGGGTAGTAGGGAGAAGATCAAGCTAGAACTAGCCAGAGACATTTATAAAGGCAAAAATCTGACCAATGCTAATGCTCCGAGTGCGTTGAAGAAGGGGGGCCCCAGAAACTTAAGTCTAGTTCTGGTCAAGCCTTGACATAGTCACATCAGGTGTTCTTGTGTCTTTTCTTCGAGAGTTGGTAGACATGCATTACAGGAAATACCACAGGATAGGCCAAGTCTAGCTGCATGCCGTCCTATGGTCCAGTGCCCTATAAAGACAAATATTAACCAAGATACCTCTGATTTGCTTCTGTTTATATACTATACTCTATTTCTGGAAGAAAATTAGACTCGATTCTAAAATTTTTTATTTTCTTTATCAATTTATGTGACTAAATTAGTTTTGTGATAAATCCATATGGCAAATAATAAGTCAACCTATTCTTTCGTCTTTTCGAATCTCTAATACATGCATATATCTGTTTGTTCAGTCAATATTTTCCTAAAGACGTGTGTTGTGGATTTTCAAGTACAGAACTCTCTTTGCTTTTGCCTTTGTCTCTTCTTTTCTCATTTGAAAGTAATATTCTAGATTGCGGATTGTTCACAATTGGCGGGGTATGCAGAACGTGACCAAGATCAGCTCAAAGTTGTGATATCTAAGTGATTAATAATCAATTAAATTGTAGATTTTGTATAAGTAAAAGAATTTAAAATTTATTATTCGTGCTAGATATCATCTTCTAACATTCCCACAAAAATCGACAATTGCAAATTCTATCTACAGTATTTTAATATATTTTAAACATAGTCCCTTTGTAAAGTTTGGTATAAGACAGAATTGATAAGCTTCGTGAGAAGAAATATTTTTTCCACTCCTATCCTTTCCGGGCAACAGTTTCTATAACGCTATAATTGAATGACTGTTGTTGACCTAGGCTTGGCCAAAATATTTATTCTTGATATGCGCTTACTTACAGAATAGAAAACTATAGCATGAGAAACTATGGTTTACTGATTACTATAGCACTGATGGTGCCCCAGTTAAAAATATATAGATAATAGAAGTTTGAGAATTACTTTTCGTTGGGTTGATGACTATTTGAGTTTTTGCTAGCGTAAGAAGAGATAATGGAACTACAATACATTATACTTATGCAGAAATAGGTTCAACGAGTGACTATATTGCAATGTACGCACTATAGACTCCCAGATTATGATATCTTAAATAGGTTGTTATAAATCTGAATAATGTCTTTTAGCTGCTTGTCAAAGGTGGAAAAGTTGCTTACTACTGCGAGTATAAAGAAGCTCAATTACGAAATTTGCTTGAAACGTGCACAGAACGAGCCACCAATTCACGAAGCGAAACAACAGTTTTACAAATCTCAATATGAGACGAGGGTACCTTATCCCGGAGCTGATATATGTGACATATGTAAGCCACAATGTAAGAAGTGTTATAAAAAGTATGGTGAACTGATGTATAAAATTCTAAAAATATATGAGGCCAAGATGAACAAAGAAAAGGCTCAAGAGAGGGAATATCGAGCACAGAATAGAGCACGCAGTAAGTATTTCTAGTTTCTAATAAACAAGCAAAGTAATGTATATATTCATATAAACCTTTATTGTGGTTTACAGGGAGCCATAAAGCATTAACTCCGCGTGTGACAAAAAAGGTCAGTGTTCAAGATTTTTGTACAGAGATCGTAAAAAGTATGCAGCGTTGGAATATTATAAGTGATTATGAGTATGCGATTGATCCAGCAGTAGTGAAAGCCCCTGAAAAAATGGAGAACTTCTTAGATGAAATCCAAGAAATCCTAAATACTATGGAAAGTAGTTGTTACTGCAAGGTCGACACACAAGCTCATGGCGATAGCTGTAGTAAAGTTAATTGCCCACCACTTCCGGGCCTCGATTAGAAACCAAAGGGAATTTTTAAAATATATTTATTAAATATCTTTAATAATTTAAAATTATACAATATTTTTAAAATAAAAGTAATTTGTTAAATTTTGAATTTGATTGTCGATCTAGTTTTTTTAATAATGATTTTTTATATATTTTCTCTCCAACTATAGGTCACTTTTTGTTAAAATTAAAATTAAATGTTTGTTTAATATTTTTTAATTTATTCTACATTTCAACTCTCCTTGAGAGTCATCATCAGGATCATGATCTAATATAAAGTAATATTAATAAAATCTATATCTGAATATCATGCTCTTGATTTCGTTATCTATATTGCACAAGGAATCAATACCATGACGTTCAGATATACATTTTATTAATATTAATTTATATTAGATCCTGATCCTGATGATGACTCTCAAGAAGAGTTGAAGTATAGAATATATTAAAAAATATTAAACCAATGTTTAATTTTAATTTTAACAAAAAGTGACCTAGTATAGCCGGATAGAAAATATATAAAAAATATTTTTAAAAGTAATTTGTGTAACACATGAAATTTGTAAGCTTATCTTGTAATTGGTGAGACTGTGGATATCACTCCAATCCACGACTCTAGATGTACTAATGAATTTTTCATAATTTCTACTCTTTAGTAAAAAAAGGTATAGCTTATAGGGTACTGCCCTATAATTTCTATAGTTCTATTTTTGAAATCAAAAATCTTTTTTGTAATAGCACTGAATATACCAACCTGCTCTAGTTAAGCCCTAATCTATTAAGTTATGGTATAAAATATTATAAAGAAACAATATAGCATCACCAGCAGCAGGAGTTGTACTTTGGATATAGAATTATGAAGTCGTGTGTAGAGAGCAACACTAATAAAGTGAACAACATATAAATCAATCGGGTATTATTTTATTCTAACAATAAAGTATAAAGAAGAACGAAAACATATTAAGTCTTAATGTGATAAATACTGATATCCTTTCCAAGACACTCAAGCTATCCAAATTATTGGAGCCCACAAGAATTGCATTTTAAATTACAGAATGTGTATTAAATATTTAATAGGAAGTTATTCTCTTTGCTGCAGAATGAATCCGATATGTAATCTTTCGCTGAGTGTAATATATTTCTAAAATCTATCATAGCATATATGCCTTACATAAACGTCGCATCGAAGCATGGAAAAGGACCCAACGTTAGGTCTACTTCGGCTAATCCTTTACTTCAATGGGGCCACTTGATGGACAGCGCGCTGTCCCAACGCCTAAGAATAATATATAAACGTCGATGTAGTTCGAAATTTTTCCTGAATTCATTAACATTGTTGTAAATGAGTTACTTATTTACACAGGGGACGTCTAAAGGATCTCGGTTTATCACTGTCTATCACCAAACTATCTCTTATATGCGCTTGCTCTTAATGCTTTAATGGCAAAAAGGAAGAATCAATCATTTGGAAACATTTACTTAAGAATTTGTATCTCTTACGTTCTAGATGATAGCGCTATACACTAATCCATTGTGGACTTTTTAAGAGATCTAAGGTACTAAGGTTGCTTTCACACTATAATAATAAACTTTACTGTTGTAAACGCAGTTGTGCAGGGAATAAGAGAAACCACAACATATATATGCACGGTCTGCCCACCGTGCATATTTATCGGAGAGATATTAACCTACTTAATATTTGAAAACTATCATAAAAATATTTTTAAAAGTAATTAAAAATAAAGACTTCTGTATTTATAACAAAACTTAGCCAACCTTGAGTTTTCTTTTCACTTAATAAAATATTTCTTGTCTGTATTACAATTGTATCAAATCAAAAAAAAAAAAAAATAGAAATTATTTTTGTTTACCACACGCCCATTATAAGTCCAGAATGTCCAAACCGACCACAATAAAGGACGCCATCGCCAATTGGGAACAGAAGCACAATGAAGTGGCTGCTAAAGCCGTGGACATCGGTTTGCAATTCCAATGGCCTCCTATTGAGAAGATGGACTCGAATTTATCAGTTTTAGCTGAATGCCGTAAGCTTAGTTTGTCTACCAACATGATTGATAAAATTGTGGGTATAAGTTCCTTGAAAAACTTAAAAATTCTGGTTCTATCTCGTAATTATCTTAAAACTATAAATGGCATTGTAAGTATAATCGAAAGTATTTCAACAATGATTATTAAATGCGATATCTTTGAAAGGAGGTGCTAGCAGAAACATTGGAACAATTATGGGTTAGTTACAATTTAATTGAGAAGCTGAAGCCAATTGAAGCCATGAAAAATTTGAAGGTATTCTATTTATCCAATAACAATGTGAAAGAGTGGGGCGAACTTGTTCGCTTGAATCTAGCAACCAAATTGGAAGAAATAACGTTCGCAGGCAATCCATTGCAGGAATATTTCGAGGATGCTGTATTTCGTTCTGAGACTATGAGACGTTTACCACATTTAAAAAAACTGGATGGCGATCCGCTGATTCGTTAATTTATTTTATTTTCGTTAATGTGCCGGTACATTTTTTATTAAAAACTCAAAGGGAACTATTTCAAGCGAAAATTAAAATATAAAAAGATTTCGTCAATTCTTCATATTTTTTAAATTCAGTATTTAATAAAGACTATCATTCAATACTCTTGTTTTTAATAAATAAACATAAATTATAATATATATAGCAGTAAATATTATTTTTTTTTTAATATTATTATATTTAATATTATTTAATGTTGAGGCTAGTTGAGTCAGTGCACTTGAGCACTTTTACTCTCTATTAACTGTGAGGTTTCTTCATAACCTCTCTCTACGCCTTGACTGAATTATTGTTTATCACTTCATCACACTAAGCAATAACTGACCTCAGATCTGCATACCTCGTTGAGGACCCTGTAACCATTCCGAGATTCTATAACGCGGTGTTGGCAAGCCTGTCGGTTTTCGTAAATAGTTTCAGGGCTCTATCCTTTAAATATTTTTTGATCTGATCAATCTTGAGGTCTCTGAGAATGTCATTCATCCTAATGTACCATGGCACTTCGAAAAGTCTTCTCAGAGCCTGGTTATTTGGTCTTCTTGTTGTTTTACAAGAAATTCTGCAATTTTATGAAGTATTTATAGATATATTGTGGTTTCTGTTTTGTGGATGACAAGTCATTCAGTTAGTTGATGAAATGACTAACATGTCATTCGTATCCCTTTGTTTTTTTATGAGTCTAGAAGATCAGCCAACAAAAGAGCACAAACGTTGTTGATGCGCAGGACATTATAACCTAACGAATTCTATCCAAGTCTTGCAAACATGAGGCAATGACAAAGAAAATGTTGTGTGTTATTTATATAGACAAGAAATAATCTATCGGACTTATGTTAACTATGTTGGCTGCTAAAATATGTTGCCACTATAGCTATAGTCATGGTTGAGTACTTTGAAGTCTTTTCTTATAAAAACAGCACTCATTATAGAGAGAAAGAAAACGATGTAGGAATGAAATTAGCCAGGACTATCATCGCCAATATGGTGATGCTGACTACTATGGGTTACCATGCAACAAGTTTTTTGTTGATCGGCAAAACTTAGACTGTAGGTCACTTCTCCTGGATGCGATTTGTCCCGCCGATTTTTATGGTGTAGAAAAATTGACAATATCACAAGATGATGAAACAGTATAGGGAATGTTAAAAACGTTTTTTTGTAGGGTTTTCGGTCGCCTATGAGTTGGCAATGAATTCGCATTCGAATAAAGCACTCGCAGATACTAAGCAGCTTTGTTGGAATGCTCATTTCATGAGGATTGAAATCGATGCTTCAGTGAAAAACATATTTGAAAGTGTATTGTGTTCTACCTTATGTTGAAAGTGGGAGAAAAAAGATAAGTGATAAAGTTAAGACATTATTTACCACACTTGAGGTACGAGACTGTAGTAGACTCAAATCGCTTAAAGAGGAGTGCTACCTTATGTCGAAACCCAATAATAAATTACAGTCATATAGCTATATAGTTAAGTTACACGTAGTCTATTTTTGTTATGACAGACTCCTTGTACTAAATTTTTAATTGTTTTATCTATGCTCATGTTATATATAAATACTTTAGAGTAATATATCTGAGTAGACTGACGTCAATTTGTTTTTATTCTAGTGCTTATTTTATTGTCAAGTAAATATTTTTATTTACCACGTTAATTGTGTGAAAAACGTGTGTACCTGTATTTGAACTATTTAAAATTCTCTACGACACATTTGCTTGTATTTATTTTCTAATATTTGGAATTGTAAATATTTGTTATAAAGCAGTTCTTAGCAACATAAACAGTATTCTTTAATAAATCATATTTTTGAAAATTGGGGCTTATATAATACAATAGACTCTCGGCTGATTGAACACTTACTGTAACGAATCCTTTGGTTGGTTGGTTGCAGGTGTAGGCCATTAGATAACTTCCATGTACCTCAATTAGCGATTTTTCGCTGTTTTGCTATTACGTTTCTCACAAGAACCCTAGTATAGTAGAGTGGAGACTAAATCCATTCTGCCGAATTTATATAATTTAATAGGTCTTTCGTTTTCACCGATGAACAGTCTGATAAACTATCAAAGAAGTATCTTCCTAAGAATCTATATCATCTGGACGCCTAAGCCGGACATTCACAGAGAAAATGTATCTTGGTTTCTTTTACCGGTGGGTTTCCAAAAATTCTGCAGTGAGGATTATGGGGAATGCGTAGTTTCTCTGCGTGGACAATCAAATATAGTTGTAAATATTAGTATTTAAAAAATATTTTCTCTCAAAACCGAATGTTCCATATAAAAAGCAATTCAAATAACAAAGGATCTTGTCATTATACATTTCGATATACAGTTCCGACAGTTTACTGTATATTTGTGATTAATATTTTATATCAGCAAACCTGGTCGTCACCATCTGTACACTGCACTGCAAACTAGAGAATACGCAACAATGTTATTCAATTTTGACATCAGCCTATCAGTGATAAGTAAACCATATAGGCTTTCAACGTATCATACAATCAGGTCACAGTTATGAAAAAGCTTTCTCTTGCAGAAAAAAGCTTTCTCTCACGTATATTAGCGGAGAGTGTAAGAGTTTGATGATTCATTTTTTTCTGATCTTAATAATTGATACAAAAACAACCACAAAAAAAGCTTTTTCTTGCAGAAAAAAAGCTTTCTCTCACATATATTAGCGGAGAGCGCAAGAGTTTGATGATTTATTTTTTTCTGATCTTATTAATTGATACAAAAACAACCACAAAACATTTTCTTTTACAAATGTTGATTTGGAATTATTATTATTACGATATGTTCTCTCTCTATTAATTATAATCACAATTCAAGAACTTAGTCTATTCACATATGTTTTCCAGACACCCCTTTTGCGCGCTAATGCTCTAAGCTCGCTAAATAACTTGTTAATTTCCCTGTTTATCGATCCTCTCCATGTAGTTTTCGGCCATCCACGATTCCTTCTACCTTGTGGATTCCATTCTAATGCTGAGTGTGCAATTTCACTAACCGATTTACGCAGGGTATGTCGCAGTTAGTTCTCTTTCAAAACTATTTAAATATTGAGTGGTTTAAGCACAGAACCTCTGGAATTTCTAATCAAATTACTTGCTGAATTTTCGTAAATTTAAAAATCTTAAATTGAAAGAAAGAATTTTGTATTGTACTGATTTGAAGATCTCATCTATGTAATTTAGTCTGAACCTATAATCCTTAAATTTAAACTGTCATGATATGTTATTGGAAAGATATTTGCTGCCTTCAAAATAATAACTAACTATATATTACAGAATAATCCATTCATAGTATAAGCGTATTTATTATACTTCAAAATAAAACTGTACGTTTTTGAGTTACAATTAATAGAAAAACAATATACGTATATATACGTATATAGTTGATATTACATATATTACAATAAACTATACTATTGTTTTTGCTTAGTTTATGAGTTAGTGTTTAAGCATATATATATAAATTTATATATTTAAAATATATTACAATTATAAAATTTTTTATAATCTTTGTATTGTTTCAATGTTAAATAATTTATGTTATGCAGTCTACTTAACAGTTTTCGACAGGTAATAGACCAAGTGCTTTTTATTTTCCAGATAATTTTGATGTACATTTTAAGGATCTCAAAGATCATATATAATTTACAATTAAAGTTTAAAAAATTTTACTAAATATAAACATTCATCTTAATATTAATGTATACTTTATATATCGAGAACCCCTAAGTAAGACTAGCATTAATAATAAACATACATCGTTGATTCAATTGAACAATTAAAGTAAAATTAACGCAGACACATAATATACAATGATTTTTATATAAACATTTAGAAGGATATAACATTTATAATTTCAATAAAAAAATTATGGATAACTACGATGAGTACTGTAAAATCCACAATAAAAGCAATACTAAAAAAATATGATATGATATACTAAGATTAAATGATTTTTAAGCGATTAATATCAATTGAATTCTATTTAATTTATATAATTAAATAGCTAATATTTTTGGCAGTTTTTGGATGACAGAGTAATTAGTGTATTAGAGACTCCACAAAACACAGGAGAGAACATATACATCTTAACATACGTCTTATAATTAATGGTTACACATCGGAATATAATATTGCTCAACTAAAAAAATTTTATAATACAATTTTCAAATAATATCGTTAACAATACATTAATTAATATTACCACTCACACATTTGATTTGAGTATCAATGATAGGCGAGTGTACATGGACATTAATAGCAGGATTCATTATCTTTAATATTATTGTCAAGTAAGCTAACATGCATATAGCAAAGTATTTCTTGATTTTATTATCTATGTAATCGTCAAAATTTTCTAACATGGTAGCTATTAGGATAATCAAGCCATAACTAAAACAAAAGTTTGTGTATACTTTGACTGGCAGAACTACAAAATTAGTTATTACTACAACTCATGAAATAATTAGACATATTATTACTTTATCTTTCGTGATTACTATCGCTAGTAAACTCTCTAATGATATTTATGAAGTTTTTATTAATCCTGTACTATATTGCTACCGACTAATTTACTGACACTGATACTGACATGATTTCCTATAAATTCAGTTACAAACACTACTTGTTTGTATGGATAGCAGTGATAGTAGTTACAGTGATAATTCTCATCTTTTCCGTTAATACACATATTATATATGATTTATGTTCTTTTGGTGTTGCCTTTATGTTCCGTCTAGGACGTATTAATTTTTAGAAAATAAAAACTCAGTTATTTGCTAAACTTACATTACAATACCTCTATCATGTCTTATTCACCAATTGAATCGGGATTATGCTTATTGCAGCTGTCACAACAACCAGTCACAGGCATGCACTAAAAATCAGTCTAATAGTTCATAATATTAAAAACAATATAGCTGTCACATTTTTGTGCATAGTTAAGCTTACTTAAGCTAAACAAATTTATAATGAGTTCGGGTTAATGATATCCCAAGCGCTGGCACCATCTTTTGAACATAAGTCCAGTATTAACGCTGCACCAATATTTGCTTCTGTTGCACGCAAACACGTGCCAGAAGCCATGTTATAGATAGGACTATACTTGGTGCGAGTATGCCGCCACTGTTGATCACCTAACATTTCATGGCATTTGTTAATGCGTACTTGCGAATCACCGGCTGCCTCCAAACACAGCAATTTATCTAATATAATTTCTGCTTTTTCTGTTTCGTACCAAATTTGATTTTGTGTTTTAACACATTCTTGCAATGTTATTAAGCTGCCCTTCTTCCAAAATCCCTTTACTTTTGGTGCTACCACAGATGCACACAGTTTGGTACCAGCCAAACGTATCAGAAAGGTATCAGTGTAGTTGCGTTTGCGCGAGTGCCATGGTTGAAATGGTGCTGCTTGTGCACCTGGTTTTTTGCTCTTATCACCTGGCAAACGTAGTTCTGGATAAACATTCTTCAAATACCAATCAAAACTTTTACAGTTTAGACGCTCACGTAGTTTTTTTCGTTCAGTAACATCTCCAAAATCGAAATTTGCAGTAGCTTTTTCTTGTTTGAGATAATGTTCTTTATATTCGTCCATCCAGACATGTGCTAGGCGCAGGGAGTTCTTTAACATCGTATTGTCAGTGGCATTTGGCGCTAAGTAGGGACGTCTTTTACGGAATATGTGTGCAACACGTGAACATGGCATTATTTTAATTGCACCACCGCATTGCCAAACTCTAAAAGATATTTCCAAATTTTCACCTCCCCACACATCCATACCCATATCGTATTCACCTATATCGTGAAAATACTTACGATTTATAGCAAACAATCCACCAGCCATGGTAGGAGACAAAAATGGACCTGTTGAAAGTAACAACAAAACAAAAAATAAAAAAATGTTTTTAATTTTTTAGATTTTATAAATGCAACCACTTACCTTTATAGTCCTCATCAGTTTTTAGCGCACCTTCAGCCAAACCAATCCATTTATAATGTAGGCCCCAATTAAATCCGCCACGAACCAAAGGACTTGATGAGTATTCAAATGTATCCGGATTTATTAAATCCATTACAGGTACTGCTATTGTAGTGGGCTCCTCTTTTACCATACGCAATAATGGTTCTGCCCATTGTTGATTTGCCTCTATATGCGAGTCGAGAAAAATAAGCACATCTCCGGTGGCTTCACGAGCGCCTATTACACGCGAACGTATTAAACCCTCACGTTTATCATTTCGTATGTAATGTATACGATCAAATTGTAGTTCTTTATGCAAATCGTTTAGTAAATGAAACTCCAATTCAGGCGAGTCACTGTAATCATCCACCAATATAATTTGCTTTAATAAAAAATCTGGAGTGCGTTTGATGACCGAGTTTACGGAACGTAGAAGCGTCATTTTGTGCTCATTAAAGAAGCACATGATAACAGTTACTGTGGGCAAATTTTCTATTTCTGCGGTGGGTTCACGTGGGCAAACTTTGTGACGAGTATCAGGCACATCACGATAAGTTCCAATTTGGTTCGATATAAATGCATTGAAAGCGTAATGTTTGTAACCAATGTCTCGTATATATTTGTCGTGCTTATTGCGTATTACACCCAATGCTTCAAACATTTTGTCCTTTTCATTGTTATTAGCTACCGATTCTTGGGTTTCTTTAGTTGTTGGTTGGCATGATTTAACTACTCTACCCTCATAAGTTATGGAGGGATTGCGTGTGCCAGATGGATTGCTTATCCGCCAGCCTGCAGCGTGAATCGAGCTTTGTACTCTGCGCGCATATATCAAAAGCCCGGCTATGAACAGCAATATAATAATTGCTATTTCCATGGAACAGCAATGTTTGCGCAATAATCGCTTCAGTTGCATTTTTGTTGTTTAATTAATAAATTAATGTTGCTGTTTTTTTATTTGATGGTATGAATTTTATTTGAAAAATACAACTTTTCGAAACTTTATGCTAACGTCAACTGATGGCATTTGAGTAAATTTAATTAAAGTTGCTTTACTCTTGTGGTTGTTCCACATTTGTTGATTTCGAAATCGTATAATTTTTTGTGCTCACTTACGAAAACACCTGCAAAAACAACTTCAGCAACTTCCTATTTTCTTTTACATTTCGCCAATATTTACTCATCAACAAACTTGCCCATTGTCACTTGTATTTGAATGTCAAAAACAACAAAAACAAATAGCGAATGTACATCAATAACACACTCCAAAAACAATTTCGTAGTGAGTGCAGTTCGTAAATATTCACAATAGTTGCAAATAAAATATTTTAATAATTGTAGAATTGTTGTACCAAAGAATAAGGTATTCTTAGTGTTATGCCATGTTTACTCTGGTCCAAAGAATACCTTATCTTGAAAGATATTCTTTGATTCATTATTTGTTGCTGCATTTTAGTGACCACTCACAATAGATACGAGCATTGTGAAATTATCATACCAACTGTCAAAGAACGCGCAATTGTTTTATGCTTGGGTTTGTTTAAATTTTTTTAATAATACAGAGTTTAGCAAGTGTGTTGAATTGAATTATATTAAAATGGAAGGCGCACGCACTAACACTGGTGAACCGCGTCTTAATTTAGGTAAATTTATGATTTTAATATATTCTATTCATAGATTATGCTATGCTTCACATCTTTTCAGACACAAACGCCCAACGAAATTTTATTAAATTTATGATAAAACTAGGAGAAGTAAGTTTACTAACCACTGCTGTGTGCAGAATAAAAGTTAATGCTTAAAATTGTTTTTCTAAAGTGAAATATGCAATATATTAAAGCTGCGCAACATGTCAAGGCGACAATGTTTTAACGTTCCGGTTTTAACCAAACTGCTCAAAGCAATCAATGTCTTTGAATGCCCTTAACTAATATATTTTATATATTTGCTTTACAGAAAACAAACACTACCGTTCGGTTTTTCGACCGCACAGATTGTTATACAGTACACGGCACTGATGACTGTGACCGTATATCAAAAATTGTTTACAAGTCAAATGCTTACATCCGTCAAATGCTACCAAATGAACAAATTGCTCTATCATACGTCGCGATTTCCAAAAATAATTTTGAATTAGCCGTGCGAGAATTGCTGCTGGTGCGAAATTTTCGTGTTGAAGTATATGTAAGAGAATCTTCAGAGAGTGATTGGAAACTGGAATATCGCGGCTCACCTGGTAATCTTCTGCAATTCGAAGATATACTTTTCAGTAATAAGGAGATATTGGTTGGTAATTCCATACTCTCGCTGCATATGCGTTTAGATGGTACACAACGTAAACTTGGTTTGGCTGCAGTTCAACAAAATGACTGCTTGATTCAGGTCTTGGAATTTGTTGATGATGATTTCTATACTGAATTGGAAGCAGCAATAGTACTTTTGGGCCCTAAAGAGTGTTTGTTGCCTACAGTAGATAATGATGTACGTATTAAAATTTTAATTAATCATATTTTCTTGCTGATATTTTTTTATTAGTATGCAGCTATTAAAATATTGCTTGAACGTAATGGTGTTATGGTCACTGTTGTCAAAAAATCCTCTGCAAACACACATAAAAGCGATCTTACACAAGATTTAAATAAATTGTTGCGTTTTGCAAAAGGTCAGCAAGAAGATGTAAGCACGTTTCCAGAAATGGAGCTGAAAATTGCAATGGAAGCACTACATGCAGCTGTAATTTATTTGGATTTACCAAATGACGCCGCTAACCTAGGACATTTTGAAATGAAACAGTTGCTTCTTAATAGGTAATATAAATAAACAAAAAATATATATTTTATAAATGTATATTAATTTTATATTTATAGATTTGTACATCTCGATTCTGCTGCTTTAAGTGCTTTAAATATTTTACCTAAACCGGGCACACAAGTAAACAGCTCTGTCTACCGCTGTCAAAGTATTTTAGGAGTACTCGACTTGTGTTGCACGCCGCAAGGACATCGCCTAATGGCGCAGTGGGTTAAGCAGCCACTGCGTAGTCGTGAAGTATTAAATGATCGTCACAACATAGTTGAATGTTTACTTGAAGCAGAAACTGTACTCAAGAGTTTATATGACGATTATATGAAACGTATACCAGATATACTTATGCTTACAAAGAAATTAATGCGTAAACGTGCAACATTACAAGATCTTTTTCGTATCTACCAGGTACTTTTACGCTCGCCTAAGATAATAAATGCACTTTTGAGTCTCGAAAATGCAACTGTTACAAGTGTGCTGTGTGCACAATTTCAAAGTTGTTTAAAGGATTTATCTGGTCTAAAACAAATGGTTGAGAGTGTAATGGATTTCTCTTCTCTAGATTCCGGCGAATACTTAGTTAAGGCTTCATTTGATGCCCAATTAGAAGGTATGAAAGACAACATGGATCGTTTATTGAGTAAAATGGAACGTTTACAGACTAAAGCTAGTGAAGACTTAAATATGGAACGTGGACAAACAGTGCGTTTGGTGAACATTGGCCATTTGGGTTTTCATTTTAGAATCACATTAAAGGATGATTCCATATTGCGTAAAAATAAAAACTACAAAGTTTTAGATGTTGTTAAAAGTGGCGTACGGTTCACAACCGACAAATTAACAGAATACAGTGAAGAGTATAACAACATACGGAAACAATATGAAGACCAACAAAAATCAATTGTGGAAGAAATTATACAGATCGCTATTGGTTATGCGGCACCGTTAACCTTACTGAATAGTGAGTTAGCGCAACTTGATTGCTTAATTAGCTTTGCTATGGCTGCACAATCAGCACCTATACCCTATGTTCGTCCTAAAATGCTTGAAGAAGGCTCTGGTATTCTGGTATTAAAAGATGTTAGACATCCATGTCTTGAATTGCAAGAAGGTGTTACATTCATAAGTAATAGCATTGAATTTAATAAAGGTAAGTGTGGTACATAATAAAAAATTGAATAATAAATAAAAATTATTTTTAGATATTTGCAATATGTTTATAATAACTGGGCCAAATATGGGTGGAAAAAGTACATATATACGTTCGATTGGCACAGCTGTGTTAATGGCACAAATTGGTGCTTTCGTTCCTTGTAGTGAAGCAACAATTTCGATGGTCGATTCAATTTTGGGACGTGTTGGCGCCAGTGATAACATAATCAAAGGTTTGAGTACATTTATGGTGGAGATGATAGAAATGTCTGGTATCATTCGAGTAAGTGTATTTATATATATTAACTATTTTGAATAGTTAAAAATGCCTTATTTTTTTAATTTAAAGTTTTTAATGAAGTGAATTTTTTGGTTGACAATCTATTCGTTTTGGGTATTGTCAAATATTATTTGTTGGTTTCATTGTTGTTTGTTCATATACCATTTTTTTTAAATAAGAAAAATAGACTATAGGTGCCACGCTTACAATTTTATACCTTTTAAATTTGAAAAACCAACCTACGTGTACCGACTCACAGCCTTGAAGAAGATATGTTTTGTTGAGTAGGTAAATATATGCTATGCATTTATTTAGATTTTATTGTCTTCTTTTTAATTTCAATTAAAATTGGCCTTTTTATTTTGTGTATATCATTTAATCTCATTAGTGAATGCTTCTGAACTTGCACGAATTATATAGGTGCTTTTTCAGTTTGTAATATTTGTTACGAAAACTACTCAGACATATCATTTAGTTCTAACTGGGCGGATATTGATAAAAATAAATTAAAGAGGTTTTTCGAACAGTAGTGAACTACAACAACAAAAATTCATTTTATATTATTTTAATTAAATTTGCCAAATACCCATTATCAGTGGTCTTGGAACTAATTCTTGTATTTACTTATTCGTAAATATTTTAAAGGTGCCCTGCCAAATTTGAAGCTTAGAGTCAGTGCTTCGTAACCAACTGACCCAAAGCCGTACTTGACTTTTATGTTTGCATATTTTTCTGAAGTTTTGTTAATTTGCTGTGAAAGTTTTATTAATAAATTCACTTGCTGTGTTTTATATTAGAACGAAATCATAAACCAACCGTAGAATAATTGAATTAATTAATTATATTTTTATTTTTAATTGTTAAATTTCAATACTGTTCTGTTTATAAACGCTTATAATATTTTGTATTATGATGTTGTTTAAGAACTTAAAATTGTCATGGTTTATTATTTAATAGTAATATTTAGCGATCCTCTTCCTTGCTTCTTGAGTACTTAGAGTAATTTAACTCTCTCTAAACTAAATTTTACTATTTAGTGCATAGTACTTAATTCATAACTACTAGGTAGTTGATCTGCCATTATATTGCTGTGAAATCAAGTTTGTGTTGGTATTTATAGTATATATATTTTATAGGTATCATTACTAAAACTGGCATCATATAAAACTTCTTGAAACTCCTGCTTACAATGTGAACTGATATTTTATTAGCTATAAACACATAAAAAACACATGTTCTAATTATATTGTAAGAATTTTTAAATTCCATTAAATATAATTCATTTTATTTGTTTTTTAGACTGCTACAGAAAAATCATTAGTGATTATTGATGAACTAGGACGCGGAACATCAACTTATGAAGGTTGTGGTATAGCATGGTCAATTGCTGAGTGAGTATTTTAAAAAAATTGCTGCGTTCTATTTTTGTTTTTATAGTAACCCACCCGTCTTTATTCTCCAATTACTAATTTAAACAGCTGAAGTAACGTCGTCCTTACTCACAACATAATCATATCAGTTCAATCGGTGTATATTTATAGGTTTACCAAAAAATCTTTGACTTAAATCGTTGCCTTTTATTTCAATGTCCAAATAATTCGTGGTGCATTAGGATACTGTATTTGTCGCTAATTAGTATGGAACCACCAAAAATCTTACAAATAAATTCTATGAAACAGTACTGCTTTACCATTTTGTAGTGTGCCTGCGTCATACAAAAGCACATATAATATTAAGCGACTTATGAAGCATACGTTTTGTTGGTCGAAAGAAGTTTATTGCCCAATAACTTACTTAGTCCAAGTAGCATTTACTTACTTAGTTGGCTATAACAGACGTGAGTCGTCCTTGGCCGCGTCGAGTAGCCTCCGCCAATCAGCTCGATTAGTTGTTTGCTGTCGCCAGTTTGTAGTACCCCAAATCGTTAGTCACCTGGTCCTTCCACTGAAGATGCAGACGTCCTCTAACGCTTTTTTCACCAGCGGGTACCGAATCAAACACCTTTTTAGCCGGAGCACTTTCTTCCATTCGCACGACATGACCAAACCAGCGAAGCCGCTGAATTTTTATGCGCCAAACTATATAAATGCCGCGGTATAGCTCATACAGCTCATTGTTTCAGCTAATTCGATACTCGTCGCCAACGCATAAGGGACCATAGATCTTCCGAAGAGTTTTTCTCTCGAATGCTCCTAACGCCTTCTCATTACTGTTGCTAATTTTCCATTTATTTGCACTAATAATTCGACAGTGCAGTCTTTGATTACTACGGTGTCAAAATAGATGAAATTTTTCATTGCTTTGAAAGTATAGTCACTAGTAATCAGTTGGCAATATTAACGACGTACCCTTTTGTAGTAGCTTTAGTAGTACTACTAGTATTTATTAAAGAAAAAAAAAAGAGTATACGTGAAAATTGCCCAACAGCCGGTACTGCGGCCAGAAGAGACCTATTGTACCAGTTTCACTATTGATTAAACAAAGCTTAAAGCTTTGTGAATAAAGTCTAGAACTAAATCTAGAGAAGAGTTCTTAATCTGTTCTGGTGACAGAAATTCTTTATGAAACAGGTTTCTGTTCTTAGTATTTAGTTTTGCCTTCATTTTTTGTCAAACCTTTTTCTAGAAATTCGAATCATCTATAAAATAAGTATTGACAAATATGAAATAATTAATTTAAAGTTTGTTCTTAGGCAGGATATTTTAAAATAATTAAAAGGTTAATAATTCGGTGTGTTAATACATGGAGATATATATTGTCTATTATAGTACCCTCTTATATGATATATAGTAATATATTTTCAATGTTTAATAAAAGATTATGGGTATCCTTTTTGTATTTTTTTTATGTTTTGGTATTTAAGCTTTAATAATATCGCTACTATATAATAAAATCAATATTTAGATTCACATTAATAATAATATAAATCATTTTAATTTCAGACATCTGGCAAAGGAAACAAAGTGCTTCACATTGTTTGCTACACATTTTCATGAAATAACAGATTTAGCAAAAACTGTGAAAACCGTACAAAACTGTCATGTAGCTGCTGTAGCAGATCAAGATACTTTTACCTTATTGCATCAGGTGCGTCCTGGACCAATGGAGAAAAGCTTTGGTATACAAATAGCACGACTCGCTGATTTTCCTGATGCTGTTGTAAATGTAAGTAAAATGAGTATCTGCATATATGCCGGATTTAAAACGAGCTTATTTTAACAGAATGCAGAAGAAGTGTACGGCCAATTCGAAGATATACATGTCGAAAAGAAAACTAAAGAAGAAAAAGCGGTTTTAGATGAAATAAATAGCGCTTTGGAAGAGTTTTCGAACGTTGGGAATGATGCTAACATAAACGAAAGTGACTTAACAAAATTAGTTGAACAGTTTACCCGAGACATCAAGGAATTAGTAAATAAGGCAGGTTTAGTCGGCGGCAAAGATTAAAATGAAGTTCCTCTGAATTGATCCATATTTGCCATAATATTAAAATTATATAAAAATTAAGTTTATTCCCGAAGCTGCACAGTGTTTTCGAAATATTCCACAAATATTTTATCATTGTTATCTATATGAAATAATCAATCAAAATCTAAAACAATCCATTTAAGTGACATATACATAAATATAGATATATATATATATTTATAACATACATACATAAATTATTCAAAATAAAAATTTAAAACACAAAAAGATAGCAGTTTTGTAAGAATAGAAAGGCTTTGTTTTTAAAGTTAAAACAATATAAATCAGAAGAGTCTTGAATTCAAAGATGTTCAATTCCTTGATACTGCGGTCAGCTATTCTATTCTTTTTAAAAGTGATGGGTGTCACTCATCTATGTAGATGAGTGGTCCATTGATTTAGATTCAATCTTCTTTTTGAATCAGGTTTTGTAATGTTGTTGTTGTTGTAAAATATAAAGTGTTTAAGAACGGAGACAGTAACCTACCTCCTTATGTTATGGTTTTAAATATTGCTTTATAATTTGTAATTATAAGCTATATTAAAAAATTGTAGTGTGTTTAGTACAATATTAGCCTTAATTTTTTCTTTAAAAGTAACAAAAAAATACTTGAAACTTATGAAAGAAAACATTTGAAGCAATAACAATGCTCTTAAAATCTTCAGAGTAAGATTTTATTCGTAAAAAATCTTAAGCCTTAAGTTTCAGTGCAGCCAAATTCAAAAATCAGTCTATTGTGAATGTTTACTGAAAGTATATAGCAAAATTGCAGTCATCCGTTAAAATCATATGAGCATTTCATTTAGTAATAAGTTCAAATAAATAAATAAATTAATTAATTTAAAATATATAAGATGAAAATGGCTACCATTGCCCTTCTAATATTCATTTTGTTTTCTTTTATTTAAATTAATTAATTTTTAGTATTCACAATTTTTATATTTCATATTGTGCACAACACAACCAAAAACATGTTAAAAAAAAGCACTTAACATATTTTAAAAGTGATGCCAACTTTTTTCAATCAGACTTATTGTTGTTTATTTATAACTCTGAAAGTAAAAATTACGGTTATTATTGTCTTTGTTTTAATAACGTAAGATATATACCTTATATACCTATACCTGTGGTCATAGATATTTTTGAAAATATCTGTAGAGAATGCAAAAAACAGAGCAGCTCAACTACATATACTGCGGATCCGTCGAGGACAGGCATATCTCCTTCAACTGTAAAAGATGGTATGCAGAAAAAACACTACTTGCAGAATATGTAGGTCACTTCACAATCGAGAATATCGTTTAAAAAATGACAGAACACGCAGAAAACTGGAACAAAATTACATAATGTGCTAAGGGAAATAAGAAAGATCTGAACGCGAACTAATCTAAAAGGAAGAGCAATCTGATAACATTCCAATTCGGATCAGGAGTGGATGCCTGGGCATAGTTTTTACGAGCAGCATATGGCATGGATGGTCAACTTATAAAGGATTCTCCCTGAAGTTAGCAAAAGCCGTCCCGGGGGGAAAATTTCACAGAAGAAGAGAGGGTGTTTAAGAGTTCGTATACTACAAAGTATGAGTCGGGCACACCATTCCGCCGACGGCTGGTTTGACGGTGCATAAAGCATTCTACCCCCTCACCACAAAAATAAAAAAATACCAATACCTGTTGTTTATAAACACAGTACTAATGCTTATCACTTGAATAAAACTATATTTATTTCTGATTTGATGTTTCAAGATCAATATTCAATATTTGATAGATCAATATTTGAAGACAAAAAGTTATATTCAGTAAACCTTAGTCTTGTCTTGGATATTCTAATAACTTCGACGATTTTAATTCCAATAACTCTATAGTATATTAAAATTAAACAACAATTTTAAGATACAATATATTGGTCTTTTATTTAATTTAAAAGTTTTTTTTTTTTTTTTTGAATTACAATAATATTCAATTTAATTGTTTTTTGTATTTATTTTAAGTTTTTAAAATCAGCTTTAAAATTCTTGAATCCTTTGGATTAAGTCAATTCGTTTAATTTAATTTAATTTAATTTAATGTAATTTAATTTTAATTGTTTAACTTTGTTCAATCTTTTACTTAATAATATTATTTCTTCATTTTAAATAATTTAAATTTGCCAAAAAATATTTCTTATATCTGATTTTAAATTTATAATTTTTATATATTAAATTTAAATTAATAATTAATAATTTAATATTTAAATAAATATATTTGTATGTACATTTTTAGGTAACCGCCAATTTTGATTATAAACAATCATAAAAAAATTTCTTAAAAGATTTTTTAAAGTGTATTTGCTTTTGTTTAGAATTAATTTTCCGCTTAGCTTAGTGTTAAGTTTATTTCTAAAATTATACATTTTCTTAATTTTCTTTTTAATTTTTTAATACATATATTAAATTTAAATTTTTGAATTTAAAGGCCTTTGGTTGAATTATTGGAAGGACGTTAAAGTCAAAGTACGTCTTGAGTTTATTTTTTTAAAAAAAGTCGGTACTTTCTTCGCAAACAAATCAAGTTTGCATTAAAAATTCAATATCTTCATATTAATATTTAAAATTTCATTATACATAACATATATTGCTATAGGAAATCTACAAATCGATTTAGTTTGTTCTACATTTTTAATTGTGTTATTAGGTTTTAACTATAAACGAAACGATAGCGAGAAAGGCAGAAAGAGATAGGGAGACAGCAAGAGATAGAGATGGACAGAAAAAGAGGAGGGTTAGAGGGAGATATATATATATATATATAGAATTAGAGAGAAATTCGGTTATTGTGAGGGTGTATGAGAGAGACCAACAAAATATAGAGAAAGTGACAGACAGGTAGTGGAAGAAAGAAAAAGGGATATATATATATATATAAAGAGAGGGATAGAGAGAGACAAATAGAAAGAGATGAATAGAAAAGGATAGAGTGAGAGAGAGAGAATTAGAGAGAATTTCAGTTACTGTGAGGGTGTATGAGGGAGGCAGAAAAAAATATAGAGATAGTGAGAGCACGGTTGCCACTTATGGTACTTTAGTACCAAAATTGGTACTTTTTTTTCGGTTTGGTACTTTGGTACTCATGTTCAAAAAATGGTACATTTTCGGCGACCCAACTTTATTGTGAATATTGTATTGTTTTATACTTTTTGTACATTTTATATAAATTGTATTTTCTTATAAAAAGACAATAGAAAAATTTTGGACCTTTTTTTACAGAAATGGTACCTTTTTAAACCAATTTTGGTACAGAAAAAAATTTTCAAGTGGCAACCGTGAGTGAGAGACAGATAGTGGAAGAAAGAGAAAGGAATATATATATAGTGAGAGGGATGGAAAGAGTTAGAGACGGGAGAGTTCGAGTAAAAGTGTATCAGAGGGAGAGGAAAAAAACATGGAGATTGAGAGTGAGATAGTGACAGGGAGAGAGAGAGAGACAGGAATATAGTGAAAAGCAAACAGAGAGAGATGAATTGAAAAAGAGTTAGATAGAAGATAAGTTAAAGTGAAAATGCGTGAAAGGGAAAGAGAGAGAAGTGAAGACGGAGCTCTCTCAGTCTCTATTTGTTATAATTTATTTTTTAATATTAAATATCTATTATAGAAAGACTTACAGAGACTGAGTTAAAAGGAAAAAGATAAAGCGAAGGGAAGTGTGTGTGTGCGAGAGAAAGAGAGAGAAAGAAAGAGTATATATATATATTTTAAAAGAATAGATGTTTTTTCATATTTTCTATTATAGGATATCAATCTTATAGGATATCAATCTATCAATCTGATCTTAGTTTTATTACGAAGACAAAAAAATATGCTATAAAGTAGCTAACATCATTCACTTTGGGGGCTGGAGCCATGGTCAACTCGCTTATTATTTTGGTATAAATTGTATCATTCACGATTGTCCGTGTAAGCTCGATGTGATGCTACATGATACAAGTTTAAGTTAGTAATATGTAGAAAATTAAGGCGAGGAGAATAAAATTGAAAACTGATGCTCTTTGCCATATAAGATAGTTGTAATACCAAATGATCAAAGCTTAGGTAAAAAGCATTGGAAAAAGTAAAACATAGAAAGTACAATATAGATAGTATGAGCTAGGGACATAAAATGTATGCTAAACGGAAATATAATAGATACAGTGAGTATAAAGCAGGGAAAGATTGTTCTTTTAAGTTTCCTTTATAAAAAAAATGGTATAGAAAATTTGGATAAATTGAAGCAAGTAAATTAACTTAAAAAAGAGCAGGGATAATATTTAGTTTTCCTTGGGTACGTGCTTGCCCTACTATAGTGTTATATTCTCAGTTCGTGCTATTTTAAATTCTCCCATTTAGATTCATTAAGTAAAAATTCTTTTGTATGGACACTTGTCATTTCATTAACTTTGAGAAGCAAATTTAGATAAAAAAGTTGCTTATAGACTATATGTTTTATAGTCAAGAGAGATGTTTGTTTCGCAGAGCTATTCATTCAACGGAAAAGTCCATTAGAACAATATTATTTTGATTTATATATTAGTTACATTAAATTAACTTTTAAAAGCAAATTAAGATAATAGATAATATTTAGATGAAATAAAAGAAGAATGGTATTAGCCGTGTTTAATTCCTTCCTATCTCTTTCTTTAATTACTTTACGCCGTTCATAAAAGTCCTTCATTATTTTCACATTTTCACAAGTCTGTCTTTAATAGATTAAATAGATATCGATTTGTAGCATTCCCATCGACAAATAACTTATCTATGTATGTATTTATATAAAAAATTTCACTAAAAAAGTTATTATCATAGTTATAAGATAGATACATATATCAATAACAATATTTGAAAAATCAAACAAAACTATAACAAATATTTTGATTTTTGTTTGTAACAATATTAGCTCAAAATTCATAAAAAATTTTGAATTAATTTATCATTTATAATAAAATAATTTAATAATAATAATTTAATAATAATAATTTAGTTATAATAATTTAATAATTTATAAAAAACAATAATATTTAAAAATACATAAATCAACAATCAAGAATATAGCGTATATAGTCTCAGGTGGTTACTATTACAAAAATACATATTTTATATAATATATACACAAATAAATATATATATGCATATATATATATATACATATATATATATATATATTTGTTTTTTTTTAATTCAAAATTAGATACACACATTCAAGCATATAAATATTGTATAAAAGTTTAGTGGAACATTATTTTTAAAAGTGTATGAGTATAAGACTTTTGTGTTCTATATATTTTTATATTATAAATTTGTTAATATTTTTAATTATTATTATTATTTTCTGTTTCTTCTATTTTTTTTCTTTTCACATCAAAATATATTGATTATACAGAGTATTACGGAGTATTAATATTAAATATTTGGCAATAAAATGGGCGGGAGCAGGACTATTGTATCTAAAAGTTTCATTTGCCACATTGAGATTATGTATTATAACAAAAATAATATCAGATCTGCTTAAATAAGTTTTGTTATTTTATATATTATTTAAATTTTTATTTAAATAAATTTTATTTAAATAAATTTTTATTTATTTTCATTTTCTTGAATTAAATAAAAAACTTTACAAGTATATTAAAAAATTATTCTTTAAACATTATAAAAAATCGTATATTTTTTTTAAAATCATATAATCAAATTTAATAAATATGCAAAAAATTGCATTTTAAAAAATTACGTACTCGTTCAATAGACAACGACTTGTTGCATAGTTTTTGGCGTTTAGTAAAAAGTCTACATTCGAGTAAGTTCAGTGAAAATAACGATTATAGCGCTATTTATTATATAAAGATTGTGCTAAGTTTTTTTTGTCTTTCTTAGAAATATTTTAACATTTTTACATATTGCGCCCCTTGCCAAAACAAAAAATGTTAGTTCCAAATTCAACCTCACAAAAAAAAACTATATGAGATTTCGGAAAGATATCCGTTAGTTACTGTTAGGGAGTTAGAGAAGATAACATAATTTAACGCAACACTTAACACAGTCCCATTGACCTGTAGACTGAAGAGTGAAAGGCATATTGGCATGCAGTTGGTAAGGCGAAGAACCAATGCAGTATGGTTTATACCGGATCTAAAACACTGGCTAAAAAAAGACTTCGGCATGCGTAACTACTATCCCACTCAGTTCCTGTCTGAACATAGATATTTCAACAGCTACTTCTACCGCATGCGCAAAGTAGAATCAGTGCCCGAACGAGAAGCACTAGCAGCGCAAGTTGGTGTCTTCTCTCCAAGGACGGTGACAGAAGTAATACTAACGCTGTGCCCTGGTAGGACAAGGTCTCTAGGAATGAGGAGGAGTGGTTTAGTTCGTGCGAGTTGAGCACTTATTTTCCGGGGCGGGATTGTGGTCAATGCTCAGGAATTACCCTCTTCCTTGCCGCAAAAAAAAAGTATTAGATTTTTGAAGATTAAAGCCTTGGAGTTAGAGCAAAGTGAGAGAATATGCTTTATTTCAAAAAACTATTTGATTTCGAGAAGATAAATGGAAATGGAGTTGGAGAGAATATTTTATTTCAACATAGTACGAGATTTCAAGAAGGTTAGATTTAAAGAGGAGTTAGAGCGAATATTTTAACTCCACATAGTTTTGAATTTAAGTAATAGGTTAAGACACTCTTACACATTTCATGGAAAAAAAATTAAGCGTATTGAAATTGCTAAATCAGCGATTTCTTTGAAAAGAGTGCTTTAATTTAGATTAGGTTTAGTTCAATGCTGATTCTGACTTCATTTCCACGTAGCGTGCCTTTGGATCGATCGCCATTGTCTATATTATTCTCTGTAAGGCTAACTATAATGGTTAATATCAAAAAACTTAAACTCAATTATTTAAATTTGAGTACTTCAATACAGAAGTTGAAAATATATAGGACCACTTACTAAATAAAATTTGATTTTTAACAACTCAGAGTAAACTTGCTAGCAAACTAATTATATATATATTATATTTAAAAAAAAAACAATAATAAAACACTGATTTTGGTCCCTTTATTTCTACGTATTGTTAGTGCGATTTGAAACTTAAGGAAAGAGCGACAGTATACAAATAAATTAAAGTGACGTTCCAGAAGTGGTCAGAGTCACAAGTATCGCTCAAAATTCTCGTAAGATCTTGTTTGTTCACAAAGCAAGTAAATCAAGCGGGTTTCTCCAAGTTCACAAGAACTATTGGCTATAATAGGTTTCAATAAAAACAATATAATATAAGAGGTGAGTTTGGTCAATATACTGAAAGGCTCTTTTACAATTGCCACATATGTAATTCAGATATAAAGTTATAAGCAATTTGTAAATTAGATGAATATAGTGTGTATACTAAAACCTAAAGTTACGACTGTAACAAAATTTATTCAGATAGAAAGTAAAAGATGACATAAAAGTGGTGAATTGGGTGAGTATAATGAAAGCCACCTTTACAATTGTCAACATATAGATAATAATAAGAATTTCTAATGGATTGAATTTTGAAATTTTGGTAGATCTGTTTATTTTTTTTTTGGTTTGGGGCAGCTTATATTATATTGTATATTATTACACATAAATTTCTACATGTTTTATATAGTTCAATTTGTATACTATATATAAATTTTTTAATAAAATTTATAATTTCTTTATATAGTTGCAGTGTAAAAAGTACATAAACAGAAAAATACATAAAAAATTGTTATACATATAAAGGTCGTTTTTTAAAAATACGTTTTTTTCTTAGTTTCTTATAAAATCTTAATTATCTCGTAAATAACGTGGTAATAACAGCAAAATTACAGCTAATCCTATAGAGACGGCATTAAACTGTATAAACGAAGCATCACCGCAATAGGTGAATAATTCCTCCTGAAAAAATTAATAAGTAAATTAATAAATTAATTATAACAATGTTATTATGAATAAGTAATTTAGAAGTGAAAGTTATAGTCGCTTAGCAGACCCAAATAATGTACTAGCATAAGTAGTATTCTCACAAAAGTAAACTAACGCAAAAAAGTGAAGTAGGAACCGTCTTCTGAACATTTATAGTTCCTTGCAAATTGATGAATACGTCTAATTAGGAAAAATGTTAACCAACATGTTGGTATGGATTTAAAAATGAATAACATTTTATCATAAATAGTTTAATTAATTTTTAAAGCTAAGTTTTAATTAATATTAGTAACCATACCATAGGATGTTCCGTATAACATTCCTCGATTCGTCTGCGTTCGTAAAAACTCATATTTAATTTATAGCATGGGAATTCGGCATCATACTCTATTATCTGTGGTTCCGTAGTAAGTCGTACTCCTTTTGAAGGCATTAGCACATTGACTACCACTAGCAGTAAATTCGTATTAGGTATTTTTTTTAAATAGAATGGACGTGAATTGGGCATTTTGATGTAATCATTAATGCCCTCAAGAGAGTTAGGTTGTAAAGCATAAAGTGTAGATTTCATATCGCAAGGTGAGTAAACTGGTTCAGGTTCCGGTTCCTGAAAAATGAGTTCACCATCTTCGGTAATTTCCTTTGTTTTAGGTTGTTGACCAGCAAAAGTTTCGGGTACAGGTTCATAATCATCATCAATTTCATCAAAATATTCGAGAACTGAAAATAATGTAAAATAATAAATAAAGTAAATAATAAACTAATGAAATGTGGAAACGTGGAAAAGTGGTTGAAATTACTTACAAGGCGCACCATCGACCCACCATTGTATACGTGTATAATGCCAAAAAAGCTGTGTGACTAACCACTTCCAAGCCAAGCTAAAAAGTCGTATGGGCTATAAAAAATAAGTGAAAGAGAATGCATTAAATGTATTAGAGTCACTATATGCATAGATTTAAAGTTGAGTAAGGAGAAAAAATATAACGTATAGAAGTTAGGGAGATTAAGATAGGAAAAGAGAGAGAGATAAAGCGAAGTAGTGAAAGGCGATAAAAATTAATAATGAAAATACAGAAAAAAGTGAAGAAATAAAAAATAGATAAAACCAAAAAGAGAAAATAACGATAAATTATATAGGGACTAACACAAAGAGGCAGATATAGGGATATAGATTTACATATTTAATGTCCTCACAAAGTGCATAAAAATACCTACATGTAACAAAGAATGTGCTTCACTTGATGAGTCTGAACCTTCCGCGCACAATGCTTGATAATCATAGACATCTATGCTTTGAAATATATTTTTCTCCACCATTGCTTGCATAACATCACCTTGAAATTCTCCAAAGAATTTACCAGTGTGATTAATGTTGTGCGCTAATATAATATAGGCATTGTTGTCAATCACATAGCATTCATTTTCATCACTGTCACAAGTCTTGATGCAACCATTACACTATCGGATTAAGAAAAATTCGATGCATTAGGAGTAAGTTATGATTAAAGCTATATTAATATACTTGACTCAGACTTACATTATCAGCTGATGTTATATTAAAAAAACGTTCCAACATCAAGGCATGTGAAAATTGAAAACCTACTACACACGCCGGCGCTTCCTTCCCACCATCTCTTGGGAATATTGCATGCGATGCAGTAATTTTGAGTTCATTATCCTCCATCGGATCCTTAGAATGTTTTACTGAATACACAAAACTTTCTGTTGGCTCCTGATGATGTTGTAAAATGGCGCTTTTATACCAAGTTTCATCTATGGCTGTTGTGTGATAGTCACCAAACTCACGGTCAGTATCAACCTCGACTTCACCATAAATAAATTGCCAACGTGTTAATCCACTCATGGTGGCAACAAAACGAAGAGTGGCACCAAAACTTTCAATCAGTTTCCGTTCTTCATCGTTGGTAAATTTCCAATCACCATAACTGGAATTAGTGACTTTTGCATCAAATATTAGTAAATGCACTAATTCCTTGTTACAGTAGTAAGCATCATCCTCCAAGGTTTTACGTCCACAATTTACTACCAATAAATTTGTAAAGAATACACATACATAAGTAATATGTTTATATGTTTAAATCTTACATTCTTCTTCAGAATCAATTATGAATTCATCATCATATTGTTCGGACCACTTCCAGTCTTTTTGTATCATTTTTGCAAGAAAATGACGTAGTTCCCCTTCAGGTGTTTTGAATTCATGACCCTCAAGATAATGATATTTACAATAAACCCTGATAAGGAATAATTTTTACATTATACAAAACATTATGTTAAAATTGTAAACTAACCACTCTGGATGTATTTTCCAGTTTTCACCCACAAAAAATTCTGATATATTTACTTTCATATGTATATTCTTAAGCACTTCCTCGCCAACTTTAATCCAAGTCTTGCCGTATTCACTTGGTAGTACGATGCCAAGCGAAAACGGAGTATTTGGTAGTGGGGCAAAGAAATAATCCTGTTTTTCTTCCGAAACTCGACGCATTTTATCGTAATGAAACTTAACACTTATATCCTTAAATTCACCAGTCTGGTAGCGTACCATAGCACTACGTAACTCTAAAATGGAATCACCTGGTTCACGCGGCACATTATCCTCATACAAATGTTCAACCTCAGTAAAATCTATGCTATTGTAGTTTGGATTCATACGACCGCTAGGCTGTAAAAAACAGAAATTCAAAATACTATTGATAACAGTCTATTAATTACAAACTAATTCAAATTGCATGACAATAGGAGCTCGCACGCAGAAGAGGTTAAAAATGATACATAATTTGGTATTAGAGTTCAAATAATATGACGATGACAATTTACTGTAATGTGATTTGAACTGAACTATGCAGTACTATTTCACTACTTACACCTATAGGTCGTAAATCGGGATGCAAAAGCATGTAACCATTGTTTGAGACTACAAAGGAGTACCCATTCACACCGAGCTGTGGAAAATCACATATTTCTTGTTAACATTTAATACAGGAAAATGAAATTTTGCTGACCTTATAAGGTAAAGTTAGCTTATTTATATCCTCTACTGGCACATCTGTACCTGCTACGCCCAACAACCTAGCACGTTTTGTTCCGTTTATACTTCGATAGGTACGGTTAAAAGCTGGCACACCCACAGCTATCATGAGTCTCGTTTCTGTGCTATTTGCTTCGGCTTTATACTAAAGATATATACAAAAAAAAAAAATTTACTATTATTTTTTCACGAAAATGAAAAAAAAAATGTATTTACAGTTTTATCTGTAAAAGCATGTGTCCACGTGGGCGGATGTTCTTCATCTTGCAGCACTAATGGTGTTGCTATTACATCCACATACTTTAATACCTCTTCGTGCACCTCGTCCAAAGTTTGTACGTGTGAATAATAACCACGATTTAGGCAAGCCATCCATTGTATTTCTCTTACTTTCGTTACTTCTTTCCCCAGCAAGTAGGTAAAAATTCGTACACGCATATTCGACGTCCCGTTTTCACCGGTCCCCCAGTTATATTTTTCAAAAATTTCAGTCGTATTACCCGCAACACCATCGGTCACGAGCATTATTGCTTGATTGCAAGTGGATGTCTCATTGCAGCGACGTTGTATATAATACTGAAATAGTGTGAGCAAAAAAAAATTCAGTACATCCTTATGTATGTTATGTTCCTGATGAATTTTGAAAATATACGGACTAAATGCAAATGCTTTGGACTTGTTAAATATTATTCGATTTTAATTTAGCCAATATTTAAAAACTTATTAACTCACTTTTTTAAGTAACTTGAATGCTTTTTCGTATGCTACTGTAAGATTAGCAAAACCCTCTGGAGATAAATCTTCTAAAGCTTCATTGAAAACGTTGATATTTTCTGGTGTTGCTTGGACTAAGGCATCTTTAAAGCAAGGTATGATATCATCTACTGTAGCGGAGTAATTAAATATTGTAAAAAAGTCATTATTGGAGAAAGTATCCAAGATACTACGTATTGTAAATTTGGCAACATGATTACGAAAACCGGTCATTGAACCGGAGTTATCTAGTAATATAACAATATCTTTGGAACAAGTCGCAGTCTCAATATACCAGGAACGTTTTCGACAATCATATGTATCAGCATCATCGTCTTCATCACGCTCCTGCCACTGACTAGCTGGAAAATGTCGTAATATGCCAGTGTCAGAACCAAAGTATTGCCATGACAATGCAGGATCAGATTGATAATTTTGTTTAAATACCTCATCGAGTGTTTCGGACCACATTATTGTTTTAAGTACTTCCGGATCTAATACAAAATCGTTGCAAAAGATTTTACCATGAAATTTCTGTGAACATATGAAAAGCAAAAAAAATAACTCACTGCGATCATAAACATTGGAGGGTACATGGACGGAACTGTGCTCTGTATCCACTGAAATATTATAAAAATGTGTGTCAGGGTTTAATGTAAAATTTAGGTACATCCAAGCACGTTTCTGCTGCTGCTCTAATAACTGCTCTGCTGATTTACCATCAAACATCGAAAATTTGCTAGAATAATATTGAAAATATTCATTTGGAAATGTGTCATTAGCTTTAAATTCTTCATAAGCAGCTTCAGCTTTTTGTTGTATGCACTTGACTGCATCCATTTTACGAGACAACATTTCACCAACATTAGCTGTTATAGATTTTATAAGTTCAGTGCCATTCTTTAGTTCAACGCGTGCATTGTACTCTTTATATTTCTGCAGTGAATAAGGTATATGAGAAAAACACACAAAGAATATGCAATTATGGTAAGATAATATATTTAAGTTTCAATTAGATGCATTTAATAATCTATAGGTACTCACTGCCTTGATTTCTTGCGATTTTGTCATACGTTGCGCTAATTCCCATAACTCATCGCCAAACTGTATTGCCCACTTACCAACACTAGAAAAATTTAAGAAAAAAATTTAAATTCCTATTAGTTCTGTACTTAAAACTGATTTAAGCGAGTGAATATGTTCTTAAACTATAACATTTGTGTCAAGCTGTGATACACAGTATCCACAGTAGCCACAGTATTAACATTCTTTTATCTGAAAGAATGCTATTTAGTAAAGAAAACCTCAATGCTAAGAACAGGAAACTGATATATAACTAAATAATTTGTCCGTCATTTCTATATGGTTGTGTAGCGTTTAGCAAAGCTTCAAACACTCCTATTCATCAGTTAGAAATTGCACAAAGCCAGGCTCTGAGAATACTTTTCAAAGTTCCTTGGTACATTAGGACGAATGACATCCTTAGGGACCTCAAGATTGATCCCATCAAAAAATACATGAAGGATAGAGCCCTGAAATTATTTGCGAAATCTGACAGACTTGCTAACACCGCGTTATCAAATCTCAGAATGGTTACAGGGTCCTCGGGGAGGTATGTTGAGATACTAAGAGAAAAGTATATTAGCTAAAATGTAAACAACTACACATATATAAACATTCTTTTCATCGAAAGGTTTTAAGTATCTATCTTTCAGATTGATAATTTGAAAATATTATTATATTGAGGCTAGTTGAGTCAGTGCACCTGAGCACTTTTACTCTCTATTAACTGCGAGGTTTTTTCAAAACCACTCTTTGCGCCTTGACTGGATTATTGTTTATCACTTCATCAGACTAAGCAATAATTTACCTCAGATCTGCATACCTCCCCGAGGACCCTGTAACCATTCTGAGTTTCGACAACGCCCCTCGGTTTTCGTAAATAGTTGCAGGGCTCTGTCCTTTATGTATATTTTGATCGGATCAATCTTGAGGTCCCTGAGTATGTCATTCATCCTAATGTAACATGGCACCTTGAAAGGTCTTTTCAAAATTATTAATATTTTTAAAATTGATGTAGTTATACTAGTTTATAGCCAAAAATTTCCAAAGACGAGACCTATATTTTCTATAATAAAATTTTTCGTAGAATTCGAAAATTCAAAATGATTTTTTTTTCGTGTGTGTCTACTTTTTAGGTGTTTGTGAAAAACCGTTATTTTGATTTTTTTTAATACATCACTCTGCATATGTCCCGCCCCCATTGCCAGATATTCTATGCTATATTTTTCTTTGGATATTTTGTATCTCTTGACGCATTTTTTGGTCAATACAATTTTCTTAAAATAAATGAAAACAAAAGTGAAGCAGTAAACGATGTAAATGATGTCTTTGCTAATTGTAATACACAGAATAAATTGACACATTGTTCAAATACTGAAACAGACTTCAAAATCATTGATGAAACAATAAGCAGATCAACTGATATTGGGCACTATATTAATGTCGAAATTACTGATGATATTAAACGCTTATTAATTAATAATTCTTCCGACCACCAGAGATTACAAGAGCTATTTCCCAAGGATCCTATTCAAGAAAATAGAAGCTTCAATGCTTCATACTATAATTTAAAAACAAAATATGGAACAGTGCCACGACTTTGGTTATAACATACTCTTTAAAGTTATTGGATTCAGTATATTGTAAGCCGTCTAATCAAGCAAATCAATGTTTCAGTGTTCTGTATTTCGGGATTGGAAAAATTTGTCAGGAAAAATATAAATACATACATCTATAAAAATTAGTAGGCTGATTTCAATCAAATCAAATGGTGAACAGGTTTCGCTCCCAAAAATTATGTGTGTGAAGTTTCATTTGAAGAGTTCAAAAGCTGAGAGAGTAGTTTGAACTGAACAAGTATATATATACATATACTGATATATACTTTATGGTATTTTCGACTTTTCCTTTAATTCGTTGCGAAAATCTTGACATGCCTAATATACTCTTTTTACACTTTTTCGCCTAAAAAATATAGTTACGCCACTGCTGCGGACACTCTTGCGAGGACAGAATCTACCATTCAACTCTATGGAACGGAGCCATATTGTGGATTAAATAGGTCTCTAATTGAAAAATAGTTTTTAACCGAAACAAGTCGCTACTGGCACGACTGATTCCTTCCTACAGTTATGGTAAGGTATACTTCCTCAGCAGAACAAAGTTGGAGTTGCTGATGAGATATTTAACGGGTCACCACGAATTGCGTTATTTCCTGATCAAAATGGGATAAATTTTAATAAAAAGAGATAAATTGTCGGCACTGCGTAGAAGTAGACGTGACTTCCAGTCACATATTCTGTGATTGTTTAGCCTTGATCTGGGTCAAAAGAATGTCAGTGGATCGAGAATTACTTTCCACTTCTGATATTAGGAGGTTCTCAACAGTTGACATTTTGCTTTTCGTTCGATAAGCGGAATGTCTTCTGTTCGATTAGGGCTTGCAGCAGCACAAAAAATGAAATATGGTCACAGTGCTCCGTTAGGAGACGGTACCCTGTTTTTTCTGTTCTATTCTATTCTAACCCTATTATAAAAAATGCTCATTCTACTATTAATATATGCATTAAAATGCTATTTAATAACTTTTGTGTTAATAGGCCAAGTGTGTTATGTGTAAATATATTTGAACATCTGCAGAACTGGTGTCATACATTTAGAGCGAATTTTAATACATAAATAATTTACAATCTTTAATTTCTTTTACCTCGACCGTTACATTCAATGTTAGCAGAAAATCGCTAAAATATGAAAAGTACATCAGTTATATTACACATGTGTTTTTTAAATATTTACTCCAGTTCCCCATTTGTCTTTTATGAATTTAGGTCAGGTTTGTCTTAGTCACTCAATGTATAAGTCAGAATACCAGACTATGTTAGTGCAAACCAAGCGAAAGAGATAACACTTAAAGTAACTGCTAATATTTTATTTATTTAAAAAAGCATATATTAGAAATCGATATTAGATTCTGCAATAATTGTAGATAACTACTTGACTATCTGCTCTCCATACTGTCCACATATCAAATCAAAATTCTATCTTTCTATCTTATTGAAAGATATAACAATGCATCTTACATCTGGAAATCAAGAAGATTATATTTTTAAAAATGAAATATATAGAAGAAATTTTACAAAGAAGTTTTCGAGAAGTAGTAAACTACAACAACATAAATTCATTTTCATATTATTTTAATTAATTGAATTTTTGACTGACCATACAGCGGCTGGAGACAAGTTAGAGTAGTTTTTATTCCAAAAGCAGGTAGAACAGGCCATAGTACGGCTAAAGATTACAGACCCATCAGCCTTACTTCATTCTTACTTAAAACTATGGAAAGACTGATCGATGCTCACATCAGATCTTTACACAGTTTCGCTAAAATATCAAGGGCTCAACATGCATATCTCAAAGGTAAGTCCACAGAAACGGCACTACATGAGGTCGTCACTGTGGTGGAGAAATCTCTTGGATGTAAACAATTTACCTTAGCCGCCTTCCTGGATATAGAAGGAGCTTTTAATAACGTCAGTGTGGTAGCCATTCAGGATGCTCTCAGCGAAATGAACATCCCGGCCTGTATCTCCCGATGGATCGCTTCTATGCTTGGGTTTAGAATCATCAATGCGGAGATGGGCAATCTTAGCATTAGGAAGTGCGTCAGTAGGGGTACACCACAAGGGGGAGTGTTATCTCCCTTACTATGGATTTTAACAATGAACTCACTGCTTTTAAGGCTTAACCAGGGTGGAGTCAAAGCAGTAGCGTATGCGGATGATGTTGTCCTTCTGGTAACAGGCATGTTCCCTTCGGTGCTGAGTAGTATCATGGAGGGCGCTTTTCTGAACCTTAGTAAATGGGCCTCAAAGTGTGACGTAGGTGTTAATCCTTCTAAGACAGAACTGTTACTGTTTACCAAAAAATATAAAATTCCTAACTTTCCGCTGCCAAGATTAAATGGCCAAAGATTAACTCTTTCGCACAAAGTTAAGTATCTAGGAGTAATTCTTGACACAAAACTTAACTGGAAAGCCAACATCGACGAAAGAATTCGTAAAGCTTGTGTGGCTTTCTATGCGTGCAAAAGGATGTACGGCAAAAGCTGGGGATTGCAGCCCAAAGTGATTCTCTGGCTTTACACAGCCGTCGTTCGGCCAATATTAACATATGGATGTCTGGTGTGGTGGCCTTCATTGAACAAACAGTGCATTGTTCAAAGACTAACCAGAATGCAAAGATCTGCCTGTGTGGGAGCCACTGGGGCTCTAAGATCTTGCCCCACCAGTGCGCTCAATGTAATACTTAACTTGCTACCTATTGATATTTACATCAAGCAAGCTGCTACTCTCAGCGCGCAGAGGCTTAATGATCTAAACTGTTGGCGCTCGAGTGCTTTAGGACATGGTAATATCGCATCACTCTATCCGATAGATGATGTCAGGGTTTCAGACTACCTATGTCCTCGGTTACTATTCGATAATAACTTCGCCACCATAATTCCTTCAAGAGGAGATTGGGAGGCGGGTTTGCCTACAACTCTAGGAAAGATAGCGATCTACACCGACGGGTCTAAAATGGATGAGGGCGTTGGAGCCGGAATCTTTTCTACGGACCTAATGATTAGTAAATCATACCACCTCTCAGATTCCACCTCAATATTTCAGGCTGAAGTTTTTGCCATCCTTAGGGCATGTGTTCTTGCCTTAAATATGCGCCTTCACGGAAAAGAGGTCTGTATTCTAACTGACAGTCAGGCAGCTATTAAAGCTTTATCAGCAGTCTGTCTGTCATCAAGATTAGTAGAAGAATGTAAGGAAATTATTTCTGAACTAAGTGAGAGGTCCAAGGTTACTCTAGTGTGGGTTCCCGGGCATTCTAATATTGTGGGAAATGGGCGCGCCGACGAGCTTGCTAGGCTAGGCGCCTCTTCCACGGGTACCCCTATTTCGATCCCTGCCCCTGTCAGCTACGGGCGTAGGCTAATTTGTGACCATTTTTTGCGAAAGGCAAATAGTGAGTGGACCCTTACTCTGTCAGCAGCCAGGTCAAGGGCTACTTGGC